CCATATGTCATCAGTGATATTTTAGTTATTCGCATTAATTTAAAGCTTTCATACATGACATTATGACACATTTTGGGCAACCCTTACTGCCGCTAGTTTCCACAGTAAACCAACAACTTGTTGCTTTAATGTCAGTGGGAGGCAGTAATCACAAAGGTGTTTCAGAAGCGTGAGTGTCAAAGAAAATATAACTGTCCAGCCGCAGCAGTTTTAACTAATCTTTCTGTTACAGGTATTTTTAGCCGAGCTGAAGAGAAGTGGGCAGTTTTACGCAGTGAAGGCTCTGAAGAAGGACGTGGTGCTGATGGACGATGACGTGGAATGCACCATGGTGGAGAGGAGGGTCCTTTCTTTAGCCTGGGAAAACCCTTTTCTCACACACCTTTACTGCACCTTCCAGACCAAGGTAACACCAAGGAACACTTGGATTCATCTGTACATTTACTACAGTCACACATCTGACCTTCCTGCATTTGTTTATCCAGGAAAACCTGTTCTTTGTCATGGAGTATCTGAACGGAGGGGATCTCATGTTCCATATCCAGAGCTGCCACAAATTTGATTTGCACAGAGCCACGTATGTATCCCGGCAATATGCTAAATTTGTTAAGATGCCCAACTTAGATCTGTGCTGTTTGGTTGGGATGCTTTGCTTGCTTTTAACCCTAACCCTTGGCAGGAGTTTGTAGTGAATACACATGTGAATGTTTTCAGAATTGCAAATTCACTTACTATCAATACTTAGTAGGGATGTCACAGTACCCAACATTTTGTAGTCGATACAAATACCATTTAAATTCCAAGATTCTCAATACTTATTTAATACCATGTCAAAAATCCCCCCCCAAACTAACAGCCTGCTGGTAATGGCTTACTAAATCATTCATTTAGCAGGCAGTAAGCAGTACATACTGATTGAGTATGTAGGAGGCAAGACTAAACTAACATCCCACATTTTTTTCCTCGCTACCATTTATATTTTTCCACAGATTCTATGGAGCAGAAATCATCTGTGGGCTTCAGTTCCTGCACTCCAGAGGAATCATTTACAGGTAAATGTTCAGTAAAAGCTAGAAACAGAACTGAACCTGATGAAAAAACTGTTGGTGCTCATATCTTGCTGCTCCTCTGCAGGGATCTGAAGCTGGATAATGTGCTGCTGGACTCTGAAGGTCACATAAAGATTGCAGACTTTGGCATGTGTAAGGAGAACATGCAGAGCGACACCGTGACCTCCACCTTCTGTGGGACGCCTGACTACATCGCTCCTGAGGTGATCACACACACTAAATATTTACATTTACATAAGACTATATATTAATGGGCAAACCAACACTAGCAGATGTACCTTAAGTGGTAATTCACTTTAAGCATTTTCCAAAAGTGTTATCCTACCAAGCACAGATAATGTAATATTACTTCACCAAGGAAAAGATCTATGGGTATCAGACTGCATGTAGAATGTTTCGAACGCAAATCAAAAAAAGCTACACTGCATGTTTGTAACCTTTATGTAATTATATATCAGATACTGCTGGGTCAGAAGTATAACAGCTCAGCAGACTGGTGGTCATTCGGGGTTCTGCTCTACGAGATGCTGATCGGACACTCTCCATTTCACGGCCAAGACGAAGAGGAGCTGTTTCAGTCTATACGGACCGACAACCCCTTTTATCCCCACTGGCTCTCCAAAGACTCCAAAGACCTTCTGATCAAGGTCAGACGTGTGTGTTTCAAACGTTGTACTAGGGGTACTAAAGCAGTACATTTATACAAGCAAAACATTCCTTGACTCACACATTCAGTGTGGCCGGATTTACACAAGTTAGGTGCTTTTTCTTTGTAGAAAAACGTTTTAAACTGCTTGTTTGTAACCTTGGTTTTGTTTGTGCCGCAGCTGTTTGTGAGGGAGCCTGAGGAGCGCCTTGGACTGAAGGGAAACATCCGACAGCACAAGTTCTTTAGCAGCACCGACTGGAACAACCTGGAACAACGCAAGGTGGCACCGCCCTTCAAGCCAACTATAGTAAGTGCAATCACATGCTCTCACTTTTTCATTTACATTTGAAGGGCCTGATTTTTGCTAGGAAGCATGGTAGCTAAATATATTTACCTACTTTTAAAGTGAAGAATAGGGCTGCAACTAGAGTTAGTAAATATGAACCAGGATAAGCCAACACTTACAATATTCAAAATCTAAGATGATATCAAGTAGCATATCAGAATATCAATATAATATTGATGTATTGCCTAGCCCTAGCTGCTCTAACGATCATTGTCATTATCCTTTTTAGTGATTATTTCACTACTTTAAGAGGGCACATACTGTACACTGAAAGGATGTTAACAGTTCATCTTTGCATGTAAACCTTAAATAAAAATGTATAAAGTGTTTTTTAGGATACAATACTGTAATAGAAAGGTTATTTTGCGATACAATACTGTATAAATATTTTGTAATACTCCTATTCTCATCTAATGACCAACATATTGAGTTAAATTTATTATATATATAGTCCAATAGTTAAGGATAAATAATACTTTCAATTGGTGTATATTGTTTGTATTTACACATTTTCTCTTCCACTCTGACAGTCATCCCCCAGTGACTGCAGTAACTTTGACAAAGAGTTTATCAACGAGAAGCCACGACTGTCTTGTGCCGACCGTACGCTCATCAACAGCGTTGATCAGACGATGTTCAAGAACTTCTCCTTCGTGAACCCGGGGATGGCCCGCCCGGCAGCACGCTGAGCACTGGACAAAACAACCTACTACATTACAAACAAGCCGCTCACACACAACCAGCACTTACTGAAACTGAAATGGACTGCAGAGACTTTAGACTGTGAATGTCACAAAACCCAACTGTATCTGTAATTATGATGATAACCACTAAAGGGTGTGTCCTTAGTGTAAGGCACAGACATGGCTAATATGACAGTATATGTGTCTTAACTCTTAAGTCTCTCCATTTAAAATAGTGTTAAAATAAAACAAAAATATCCACAAAAAGCCTTTGGTAATCTCATCTTCTGGTATCAGACAAAGAGGCCCAGAACACATACCAAGAAGTCCGTTATACTCACACACAATTCATCAAGTGGCATATACTGTATATCACCTATACATCTTGCCTTTGCGCTCATGAAGGTGTGTTTCTAAATAAAAATGTGTTGTAAAAATCTTACGGAGCTTCGTAGTAATATGTGAGGGTAAAGTTCTTAAAAGAAAAGCATACAAAACATGTGTTACAGATAATTAGTGTTATTGTTTTCTTTCCTGTCTTATTCCCTAGCCTGATGAGTATTTTACCTCCATGTTCGATACAGATGTTAGAAATGTGTTGTGTAAATAAATGTAACGTCATTCTGTCGATATACTGGACTGTCAGTTGGATGGATATCCGTTAGTGTGTAGCAGGATTTAGTTTACATGTATTTTCTTATTGAACCTCAGCAGTTTTATTGATGCTATATTTTGGATCAGGTACTTAGATCAGCTGCATACTGTAGTTGTTATTGTTCTATTCATTGTGAATCATGTGTAATAAAATATGTGAGGTTTTTTGTATACTGTTGTTTGTTTCGTTTATGACTTAACAAAATGTGAAGGGTATGTATAAAGATATACTGAGAGTTGAGGTGGAAGAATAACCACGTCAGGTTTTCCAATTTACTTGCACAAATTAATTAAATGCTAGTAAAATAAGCAAGTGGTGAGGAGAATTTCATCACTCACCACTAGCCTTTTTTTAACCCCTTATTATAACCATGGGAAGCTTAAGCAAGGGATGCTTACTGCGTTTAGTGGTTAGCAGAAGTATTCAATGTGAACCTGTTAGCCAAACGTATGTTTCGGACATATGAAACTAGCCTAAAAATTACAATATGGAGAATGTGTAGCCTCTGCAGCCACAATGAAGGCCAACTACCATGTAGCCTCTCTGATCCAGTTTAACTTTGACATAATGATAAATCAACATTTGAATGTATTTATTTTTGAAAAACTTGCAGTGCAGTTCACCCCCAGTTTGTACATTGCATGTTACTTTACTAGCCGATTTTATATTTAAATGCGTGTGATGCTAACCGTTAGCTAACGGCTAAATTATTTTTTGGGAGATACATTAAAATAAAGTCCTAATTTGAGGAAAAAACTGAAAACACTTACGGCAGTTTTGAATACTTTTCCACATTCCTGCAATACTCTTCTGGCCATTTCGAAGGAAAACCATCCCACTCTTTGTACAAGTAAAGCCTTTAAACTTTTTTCACAAGATGTGGCTGCTTAATTGCTAATGTAAACAAAGATGGCAACCGGAAGTGACATGTCCATCGTTGCGCACTAATCTTTCCTTTTAAGCCATGCAGGAACATTTAAAAGGTTACTAAGATAGTTAACTACATGTATTTGACATGAACATTGTATAACATTAAAGAGACAATTGTTATAGATAAAATGGTAGTAGAAATGTTTTAATATTAAAATCTAATATCTTAATCTCCATTTTAAATTGTATATACACATTGTCAGATTGTCCTTTGCTCTGTGTTTAATGAGTCATTTATGATGTTTCTTTTTTTTTTTTTTTAAATGTCAATAAAAAGAGTTTGGCTCATATTTGTCCTCAAGAAAAAAATATAAAAATATTGTTGAGTCAAATTAAATCTAAGAATAGATAAAAGAATAGGAGCACGATGCTGTGATCGGTTGGTATTGCTTCTCCAAAACATGAAATGACTGACCATACAGGGAATTTTCCATGTGGTTACCAGACTGGATGGCATAAGCTTATGGTATGTTCCAGAGTAAGAGTGCGTTCTGTTTGGTGAGACAATAATGAATATAAAGGAAATCAACATGGAGGTGTCCTTTGAAATGTTGTGCAGGTGTATTTTATGTAATGCGACTTGACAGTAATGTTTCTGCATTTATATTTAGATGTGCCACAAAGCATTCACACCCCAATGGTCAAAATAATCCTTGGCCAAGTTGAGTAACATTCATTAATTCACACTTCATTATTTTATTTCGTTATTGACAGAGATATATTACATGCTTTATGGTAAACAACCAAGTTACAGACCGAGTGAAGAAAGAAACAATGTTTAGTGCTTAAGAAAAACAAACATTTTAAGACTGGAAGTGTTTTTTTTGGGCACACAAACATTACATATTCATTATTCGTTTGACAAATAAAGAACCTTGATTCTTCATTAACAGCCATTTTTAGGTATCTCTTGAAATACTTGGCATAGAACAACTGTATGGCTATTGTGTTTTCAGATAAGAAAAGAGTGTTCTTCATCATGATGCCACATGTCAATAAGAGTGTAGAAGGTAGCATTTCTCACATTCTTTGTGTTCCAGTCCAGGGAGAATCCTTTTCTATAGGAGTACAAACCACTTTTGAAGAGACAAAGTCAATTACTTCTTTAACATTTATCTGCAATGGCTTGTTGTTTCAGGATAACCCCTTTATCAGGGGAAATATAATCTTCACATTTCAACAGCAATAATCAAGCAATTCTGGGCACATTTGAACTCTACATGTCTATAACGTTCTATCTTCAGCTAAGATATGGGTGAACTCATATGCAGGAGGCAACACGGTGTAGTTAAATAATGATTGTTCATATTACTTAATGACTGTGTTTGTGGCATCAGTTCAGGAGTGCGGAGGTCTTCATCGGGCCCCTGTGGTGCCAGCAGCACTGCTGCGGTTGAGGCTGAGCTGGGGGAAGTGTACTGTTGGTGTTCTGGATGTAGGTCCGTAGAGGCCGAGGTTTCTGGCAGCTGCTGATTTTCTTGGCTGCTTCACGCTTGGGAATGGGGAATAGACCTGCTGTTTAGGGGTGGAGGATAACGCTGGGGTTGACGGGGAGGAGGATAAATGAGATCTTGATGATGAAGAGATGGAGGAAAGTGAGGGAGTGGAGGGGGAGGAAGTTTTGTAAAAGGTGGAAGAGAAGTCGTTAGCTGCAAGGGAAGATCGGAGGCAGGATGTGGAGCTTGGCACTGGGGTGGAAGGTGGCGTAGGAGAGGATGAGCTAGACGGGGCAAGAGAGGCCAATGTGGGGACCGGAGAGGGGGACGGACTCAGGGTGGAGGGTGAGGAGTTGAAGGAGTGGTGAGGTGGAGGTAAAGTAAAGTGTCTGTCAGAGCTTCTTTCTGAACCTGACGAGTCGGACTCCTGGTGTCTTTTTAAGGATGGTGGAGGAGGGAGAAGAGGAACTTGTGGTGCAGGTTCAGACTCTGGTGATGTGGGTTGTGAATCTGCGTCGTCGGGGGAGGTCAGATTTGGTTCGTCCTCTAGATCCAGGAAGTCCAGCTGCACCACCACCTCTGCAACTTCTGTCTCATCTGCCACCTGTGGAGCCTCCTCACACACTGAACCAGAGGGATCAGGAGACACCAAGGAGTCGCTCCCCTCTTTCAGCTCATCATCAACTCCCTCATTTTCCTCCATCTTCCTCTCCTCTTCACTCTCTTCATTTTCCCTTTCCTCTGAATCTCCGAAGCCCAGCTGTTCTCGAGCCATGGCTATATTCCTTCGATGGACCCGGACATGAGCGCGCCAGGGAGACCCCGAGCCTCCTCCACAGCTCCCTGGAGATCCTGTACTGTTGGAGAGCATCGAGGCACAGCGCTGCATGGTCGGGGAGCCCTGACTCTGGGACAGGGAAGAGGGTCCAGACACCGGTAGGGTGGAGGTGCTAGGTGAGGTGGGTCTAGAGCCCCGGGGGTCTCTGCGCGGTTTCCGACCCAAAAGGAGGTGATTGATGACGGTGCTCGAAGGGTTGAGTTGGGAGGGCAGTACACGGGTGGCTGGGCACTTTTCTGGAGGGGGGTGAAAGGTGAGGAGACGCACACAAAAGCACATTAAAACAGGAAGCAACAGTGAATTTGATAGGAGCTGAAATGTATCCAATATAACTTCTTAAAGAACTTGTTTGCCATTAAAAATATTTTTTTCGTTATCAATTATATTTTACAAAATTGATGATTCTAAGAAATGATCGATATTGTCAACTGTCTATCCTAAGTTGTGTTACAAGGTAATGCAATTGTCAAAAATGTAAGAAACAAATATATTGAATTTATAATGAGTCTTCATTTCAAATAATTGTCAATATAGTCAAATTAATGATCCGAAAGAGGTATTAATACTACAAACTTGTCAGATTGCTTATCTATACATTTAGAAATTAATTAATTGTGTCAGCACTACAGCCATCTCAGAAATTAACTATTTATGTTTGATTGTATAAATGCATCAGCTCAGTCACATTTATAAATACATGCAGCTGCTCATAGCAACATCAGACACTAGAGGGCGCCCAAAGTTTTCTTTGAAGGATTATCATCAAGTTAAACAGTATGTTAGCATGAGATGGGAGGAGCAACAAAAAGAAGGAAGTAGAAGTTGTTAACATAACATTAGTGATAGGAGTCCGCCCAGACCAGGAAATCCTTGAGGATACAGCCAAAAAAAACACCAATTATTAGGAAACATCTGTCAATACTGAAGACATCATTAGTGTTTAGTTAAATGAACCCTAAAGAATGATCCAGAAATAATGGTGCATTAAAACCAGAGTGTTTTTTCATTATTCAATTATGGTTGTGTTATCTTCTGTCATCTTAAGATGTTCAGGTTCTAAAAAAGTTGATTTATGCTTATGTAGGACTTGCCTTTTGTGCAGTAGTGACAGGTGTCTCCAAAAACATATTTTGAATATAGCATTTTAATTGACATTGCATATACCACCTGCAAGAAGAACAACCATCATCTGTTGTCCCAGGCACAGCATCCCTCTGAACATACATTTGTTTTTATTAAATCAAAGCACACGTTTCAAAAATGCTCTCAAAATGCCTGTCAGAGTCTACAGTACTCCTCTCATTTAAGTCTAAAAGATGTATCTACGCATATTTACAATTTATATTAACTTCTTCCGATGCGGACACGTTTGCTGTTTAACAAAGTGAATCATTCCTGTATGCATCCTTTGGCATTTTGAGAGCATTATAGTACTTATTCATACTAGAGCAACCAAAACCTGATTCAGTAGTATTAGTCAAAGAGTTTATAGTTAGACAACCAGGAAAGGATTCAATATTTTGAGCCAGAAGTTCCCATGACAGATTTCTAACGTTGTTTTTCCTATAGGGTTTGTTTTTCAGAGAGTATCCTCTCTATGTTTAAAATGAGCATGACAGAGTTTGTACACCTGTTTAAATATCTTTAAAGCCGCACATTGTATACACCTTTTTGATGTGTTGTTTGCATCAGAAGTTTTTTTTATATGTTCTGAACTGAGGAAATATTCAATTGGAAATCTGTCTTGGAAACTCATGGTAGACCTTACCCATGATTTAACGTTTTCAACTATCCTCCTTAAATCCCAAAATGACTTCAGTTGAAACCCAAATGATTCAGTTAAGACCCTCAAATCAGCCCGAGAGTTTCAGAAGTGTTTGGACAGCAGTACCGTCAGTGTGTGGGTCGGTACTGTCGCTGTGTTTGTCGGGCTGCTCCTGGAAAACAGCTGGACTCGCCACTTCAGTTCCAAGTCCTACGAGTCACACATCATGGTCACACATCTGACTTTCTGCTGAATGCATGTTTTTCTGCCCCAGCGGTGTTTAATCATTGTTATTTACAGAAGAGGGAGCACTGTTTTGTATTCGTTTAAATAAAGACTTGGACATTAACTGCCACTGTCAGTAAATAGTGTTTAAAAATGCTCCACAAAGTGTATTTAATTTATGGCCTACATGTTTTTTGTTTATTTAAAAAAAATCATGTCTATTTACTAATGTTTAAACAATGTAGGTTATTAAGGACAACGTATCTAAATTAAATTGAATATTTTGTTTTTGTAACATACATTTTGACTCATGTTATGTCTGAAAAGTATGACAGAAATCTTTTTAATGAAATGTACTATTTGCTACTGTCACCAAGATCTGACATAAGTAGCTCCACTGTCAAAACCACATAATGTCCTAAAGTGACAGTTGAAGCAACTAGCTTTTGACATTAATGTAAAAAACAATGAACGGAGAAGGTGTTTGAAGTTTAAAAAAATGTATTAAGTTATGATCAATGTAAAAACGGTTCCTCCCACCTGTGCGTATGTAGAGTTGCATAGCCTGTTGCTGCTGCCTCCTTTTGATGCGTGTGTATTGCTTCTTCAGGGCGCAGATGTCGGTGCTCATCCTCTCCATCATCATGCTGTTGATTGCTGCTTGATGCTCCGCCCTGGCTCCTCCTCCTCCCCCTGCTGCTCCCCCGGCAGCGCCCACCGCTCCTGGGCTCAGCTCTGCGATGTTCCCCTGCTCCCCTCGATGGTCTGGAGGTAGAGAGAAGAAACACTGATGTCACGTTTTTACCCAACAATGCCTCACCTTATTCCATTTCTTTGAAAGCCAAACCAGAAAAGATTGAAGGAGGAATTGAAAAAGGCTTGAAGATTATAGTAAAGAGCTTTGGTTTAAAGAAGTGGAACCAAACATTCAAGCAAAATACACAAAGAAGCAGACAAATCCAATGTGCCTTTTAAAGCCCCTTTTCTTACTTATCTTCTCACTCAGCTTTGCTTTTATCCCATTTAATCAAGATCAGCAGAGTCACAAAACTAAGCACTAAATACAAAAAGCCTCTCGTTGGTATCAGGGGAAGATGACAACAGATTTTCGGGAGGGTAGGTTGTATTTATTTTAAATTGAAAAGACCGAACGTTTCTTGAATTACATTCTGTACATGGCTGATGCTGATTTGAAGCAATACATATTCTTAAGTGATTTTCAAAGGCCTTTGATGCGAATGAGTCAGCCTTTCCTGTTTTTTCGCCTTTGATGATATCGTAAACACAATGCTTTGGAAATAGACTTTAGACGACGAGGGGAAAAGTGCATTTTGTTCAAAAGTGTTTGACATTTACTTTGTTTGATTTCTCTTTAGCTCTACTGAAAAAGTTCAGCGTGTTTGAAGTTATTCTTTCATCATCAGCTTTCCTCTTTTTGTGTTGCAAAGACCAAGATGTATTTTAGAAGCCTGTTGTTTCCTGTAATTATATGATAAAGTACACTGTGAGGATAATTCTTTGATGTTCAGTTGCTACAGTTAGCTGTTTAAAAAGGAGCTACATTTCCCTTTTGAACAAGGACGAAACAGCTGTGCTGAGATCCAAAATCAAACACTACTTTCTCTGTGAAGTCCATTTTAAATCGGTGGAGAGCGAAAAAAACGTTTTTGGCTTAATCCCTCTGGCTGTTTTTATCTTTGGAGGAGCCGTTGAAGGGGGAGGAAGTGGGGATTTGTCTGGAGGAATCAGATCAGAGACAGTTTGTACTCTGAGTCAAATTGAGGGCAGGACACGAGGATTTGGGGCGGCAGTCTGTTGGTCTTTGCTGCCGTCTGTCCACCGGCTTCTATTGAAATCCTGTGTAATAAAGTACGCTGACCTTTGAGGTGTCTCTGATATCTGTGCAGCTCGGGGGCCAGCAGGCCACCCAGGGGCCCGAGGCAGCCGAGCGCCGTCACCACAGAGTCTTCATCGTCCATTTCGGCATCATCATCACTCTCCCAGCCGCCCAAACCTCCACTATTAAGATAATACAAACAATATTAAACATGTCCCATCAACACCATCTCACACATTTAAACTAATATATTTTATTTCAGATTTCCTTTGATTGTAAACCTTTTTATAGACAGCCTTTGCAATGCTTTTTTACTTTTGTGAAATGCATGCACTGATTTTGTATTTGTATTAGCCAATAGTATCTTTAAGGGCATTTCATTGGTTAACATCTATTGTAAAATGTGTATCTGTTATCATTTCTAAGTAGAGAACAAACCTTCCACTGGATTTGACTGAAGTGGGGAACGGAGTGATGTTGTACGTGTATTTCTCTCTCAGCTCAGCCAGTTGAGGGAATGGAAACACAGCCATGGCGTAAACCTCCTGAACAACGAGGATAACAGTAAACAAGTCAGTTTAAAAACATCACAAAAGAGCATTGGTGGAATGTTGTAGTACAACGCTAGTACTGTACACTCAAGTTCAATTTTAAAGTACTTTATCAGAGTAAATTTGGTATTGCTAGTTTAACTAAGTAAAAGATCTGAGTACTTCCATCACTGCAAAAGAGGTATGAGCGGTTTTTACCTGCATGAGTTCAGGAGGATCGATGAGGTTGCGGTCCAGCATCTCCTGAGTGAGACATCCCATGGTGCTGTAAAACTCATCTGCTGAGTGACAGTACTCGATCCTCCTGGAGAGAGGGAGACAAAAATGAGTAGTGTTTTTAAATAATGGGAAGATTGAGACATGAGGAGAAGAAGAGAGGCAAAATCATGAAGCAAAACAAATCAAGAAAGAAGCACAAATATTCTATCTTCTATCATTGTTTTGAGTTCCTGTGGAGAATTCATGGATTCACTAAAACAATATTTAACAGCAAATACACAATCATTTTAAAAATGATTGAGCATGACAATGGTCTAATTTAATGTCCGTTAAAAAGGCAGAATTTGGACGCACAAATGTTTAAATTGTTAATCAAAACCCCCAACAGAAGTCAAATCATTATTCCTGTGCTGGTCCACTCACTCTCCCAGTCTCTCCCAGATGGCGAGTGCGACTCGAAACAGAACCTCGGAGCCTTCGAAGAACACCGAGTCCCAGATCTTCAGCACGGTGGGCGCCGGCAGGCAGGTGGCGAACATCGTGAGGAACCACTGCATCGTGAACACGTTGGTCAGCGGAGGCTCGTAGCTGCCTGAGAAAAAGAATGTTGTGAGATTAGGCAAGTTTTCTATACATTCACAAACCCACATTATTACCTTTAATCTTTTTTGAGGATTTGTACCAAACAAACAAAAATTAAGTCGGTAGAGTACGAATGTTATGCCTTGATACTCTACAGCTCCACAGTATTTAATTACAAATGATATTTTAACAAATACTTCAACATTTAAATTAATTGGGCAACTCTAACGCTGATGCATACTTCAAAGAAATTGATAAAATTACACATTTCTCTTGGTTTGAAGATTGTTGGAAACATTTACTATAACATACACAACTCAACTAAATATAAAACAGTCCAGTCGTTTTTTTAGACACTTTCATGCAAAGAAAAGAGACATGTTACACCTTAACAGCTACAGCATCACCAGGTAGCATTGCCTGCTGTTGATGCTGAATATTTATAGCAGTTTTGAAAGCATTTCTGTGAACATTGACACACAGTTTGTACCTCCGGCCTCTTTGTTGGCAGCTTTCTGAAGCTGGTGGAGATGCTGTGACAGTCGGGGCAGCTTCAGGCGGAGCAGGTCTCTGAACACCGCCATGTCCACTGAGAGGAGGAGGCAATACAGATTCAAGATCTGTTAGTACTGGACATGTTAAATGATGTCCTTTTGATTAATGCTGTAAATGTTTAAAGTTCTGCTTTGATAAATTAGCTTGTTAACCATCGAGTTAACCATGTTAATAATTCATCTCCTGGATTATTTTCAGGCTAAAGTTATTAAAGTTTTTACAATCTGTTTTCTTCAATCATGAATCAGCATGGTTTGCATCGTTGCGTTTACCTGACAATGCTCGCAGGTTGTTGGCAAAATAACTCTCAGGCAGCACTTTGTCAATCAGATAGATCATCACCTGAACACAGAAGAGAGCCCAGACACACAGAGACGTTTAATCATTGCTAAATACTAAAGGGCAGAAAGGAACATAGGAACGCTACCAGGAAGTAACCAATTCATTATATTGACTTGTAGTGCCGTATATGAAGATCATTAAAAGAAGATTTTGAAGTTGGACATTGCAAGCCGTTTCATGGGAGGTTGAGGGAATTGGAATGAACACATTGTACACGAGTTATAAAAAATAGTTATCAGAGTAAGATCACATAAATAAGTATGATTAAGGTTAAAGAGAGATAGAGAAACTGTAGTCTTTTCATGTATTTGTTTTAGTCTGAAGTTATGTCAAACGACGATAGTAAGCTTAATTGGCTCAATCCCTGAGTGTCAATGGAATACAATCATAGCCTGGATAAAACAGCCTGGTCATGGTCGATGAATTGAGCAAAACTAAGAAGGTAAAGGGGGATCATTCCAATATTTCTCTGAGGCAAGGCCCACAGTCTCTCTGAGATATTTCTTAAACTCCTGATATAAAAGACTTGTCCTTTTTCACACAGCTTGACTTTAGTTTGAGCATTGTTCGTTTATTACAAATCTGCGTTAATTCTTTCCGTGTGCGTACCTTCAGTGCATCGCTCTCGTGGCCCTCTGTAACTTCCAGTATGAGCGCAGCCAGTACGTTGAATCCCTGGCAGTAGCCCACACTTTTGTTCCAGCGGGCGTAGGCCAGCAGCACCCTCTTCAGCACCACCCGGTCCTGCTCCCCCTCCTGCCCGCAGTACGAACTGCAGCCCGTCCTGTGCAGGTCCTGGAGGATGGACAGTATGGATCGTTTTATTACGAGTCATTAACCAGGGGTATAAATAATTGTTTCAGAAATTCTGATGAGAAGCAGATCGTTGGACTTTGCTCTGTTGATGGAAACAGCCATTACTCTGTTGAATGTGTGAGTCACTGAGAAATAGAAAACAGCTGCAGAGTTTCCATGATGCAGTCCTCTCTTTCTCTGACGCACAGGTAGAGGCAAACATCCTCCACCTGACCTGCCTCCGGATATATCTTTATACAACCAGTAAAAGAATATCAAAGATGGCTATGTGTTTCCTTTTTGGTCATCATCTTAAATGCAAGTCATCATTACTTTGCACTTCCTGAATATCACTTGTAAAATAAAAGCTTGAATCCACTTATCTCAATGGCAGACAGTAATCTGTGCCAGAACATTGAGACCAATATTTTAGGATCATTTCAAACTGCTAAAGTTGAACACTCCTTGGAAAAAAAAAAACACTACTTTGTCAGGAAAAGTAACTACATTAAATCTTAAAGAAATGGATACTGAATGAGAAATCAGTTTTTTCTACAAGGTTCATTTAAAAGTTCATCAAAAATTTGGTATTTTGGGTAATTGGAAAATTGTTGTTTATATGAAACAAAAATGTTCAGATTTCAGAAAGTTCAATAAATTAAACAAATAACGGTGAAAAATAAAAAGAATATAAAACGTAACTGAACAGTCTCATTCATGCTTTTTCTGTCAGTGTTTTTAGTAAATCTACATATTTAGACTTTAACATTTGCACTCACATTCCTCTCAACCCCTAACGTTACAATCTGGTTACCTTGACAATTTGGATGCCGAGCGAGTCATCGTCAGGGTTGCTGCGCTCGTTGAAGGCGAAACGAAGCGTCTTATCCCAGTCTATAGAGATAGTGTGCAGGTACTGTTCTGCTAGCGTTAGCCACACCTGCAGAAAGACAACAGACACACAAAGAAACCAAGAAAAAGCACATTAATGATAGAACAATATCAAAGTTGTCTAGTGTAAGAGGTCCGTTGTTCAAAGTGATTCATTTTGTTTTGCAAGATCAGGAAAAATAAAAGGTTTTATTTTGTACTTTTCCCCTGACAAGATGGAACTAATCACTTCCTGTTCCCGCTCTCTCCTCCCATGAGACAAAGTTATTTTGTGAGATGAATGGAGCGTTGTAGACAAAGTGCCTATGCGTGTTGTTCTTTTATGACTATGCGGTCTCTTTCAAGGCTGCAAAATTCTGCCTGCAGGTTGGCGATAATAAAGAAAACACACCTTTCTTGTAATAGCACTACTTGGTCATCTCTTTCTTTTTCTAAATACCCTCTTGGTACAAAACAAAGAATATAAATAAAGGCTCATTTATCAAGATGTCTTTTATGCGGGGGATATTTTAGATTCAGGGTTGTAGCACAGAGTTTATGCAGAATTATATGAACAACTACAAGGCTACTTTTTCAATTTTATATATATAATAATCTACTCCTTACATTTTCAGCGTTTCACTGCATTGCCACCCCTGGAAAATAATGTCCCAGAAATGCCATACGTTATGATTAGTTTAGGTTACACACCCTCTTTCTCCATTCCTTTGGTATCCCTGTAGGGAGCCTGGCCACAGATTTAAGTGCGTCGTACCACTGTGGGGAAGAAAAAACACGCTGTTACTGTATGTTTAATTATCTGCCACACTCCCACTGAGGACAGTGCAAACCAGTACAATACAGTATTATTACTTTATCTAGAATAATATATGTTTTACTGTAGTCGAAAATGTAGTCGAACAGATGGCATTCAGTATTTCAGGAACCTAAAAAAAGAATATCAGTTTGGGTTTCTGACTTCTTACCTGCTGGAATCCATTCGTTCCCAGCAATGGTTCAATTGTAAACTTCAGCCTTGTGTCAACTCCTACAAAACAAACAAACAAGACACCAGAAGGTTAAACTAGTCTGGAACCAGATCTAAGGGACCAATGAGTCAAAATTCCAAAGTTCCCAAATGTTATATTACGATAGATAGCCAGCATCAGTCTGTAATAAAACAACAACAAGCTGTTATTGGATGAACAGATATTATAAATGAAAAGGGAATCAACCAATGACGAGGCAGTATAAATACAAGCAAAGGACATTTATGAGCCCCCATTGTTTTGAACTATTTTTCAGACCAAAAAAATTCAATAAGATAAGTTATCCTTTAATATAACTTAATTCCAATTCCTCCTGTAACTAATCATTTCTTATTTTCAAACTATGTGTTATGCTTTCCACAAATATAAACTAAACGTCGTAAATTCATCAAAAACAAAACTTAAGGAAACCCCGGAAGTTATTTTAGTATTGGAGAAATGTATGTCAACCCTATACTTAAAAGTAACATAAGACAAAGCAAGATATTTAGATATGATCGTATCAAAACATTGGATTTAATAACAGTTTGTTGTGCTGTTGGGCGATTCACGGAGAGTCGCTGTCCACTTCCGCCTGGTGCTGAATCTGCGTTTCAATCTCCGCTTCACAAAAACATCGTTTACACACACATACACTCATTTAGAACATATTTAGTGTGCTAAACCCGCTAAACCCTGCCGAAGACCAAACGGAAATGAAACTTTGATCTGAAGTCAAGAGGGAAGGTCCTGACATGTGTCGGCACTGAGCCAACAGCGGCCATTTCTGCCCCCATTTTCTCCGGAGGATCGACACAACGCAGCCGGTCGCACCACCAGAACAACAACAAGTGTAATGTCTACTGCAAAAACAGCCTGTTGCAAAAAGACAAAACGTGTGTTTAACCTGTTTCTTCCGCCTCTGTCGTTATTTCCTGCGCCATTCTACGTGTACGTCGCTTTATTTCCTCTCTGAGCTTTGGGAGAGGATTAACACGGAAGCCCTCCTCCTTCCCTTCACAGATTACACAGCTGACACTGAAGCAGTATTTATCTAAGGCATTAGAGAGGTCCAGAGGCTGAGGCCAGCATGACAGGGCAAGGTTTAATATCTCCAGATGGGAATTTAATTAGAATTAAACCAGTAGATTAATGATTGCCTACTGAGAGAGGGGGGGAAGGCAGGTAAGGTATGAAGGATAAGAGAAAGGAAAAAAGGAAAAAAGGGAAGGTGATAAAGAAAGACAGATAAAGGGAGGAGAAAGACCTCTAGAGCATTTCAAGTGTTCAGTCTTTGGGAATAAACATTAGGCTAAAACAAAGGACTTCCTCACTGTGAATAAAACTGCAAGAATGAAGACTGAGAAAACTAGGTTGGCTTTATCACAAATAAACAAGATAACACTTGTTAAAGACTGTTATGAAGTAGATCGTGTTCAAATAACTCCACGTCATTAGATAAATATCTGGGAGATGGAAGGATTTTTGCTGTGTCATGAAGTGTTTGGATCACATTAACCTTAACATATTACAAAACATATGTATTCCTCCATTATAAGTGCTGTTGTCTTTAGTTATGAACACTAGATGTGTGGCTTTCGTTTATCCAAAAAGCTTTTCTTTGTATTTCCTAAAACCTTATCCATCAAACATGGGACAGAAACTATGAAAACAGTAAACAATTCAGTTCCAGACTAAAGAACAGCAATGGGGGACTATAATCTGGGATTTAAAAAGTACTAAACAGCTTTTTCCAAATGATATTTGTCAAAAGTGTTCAATCCAGCAGAACTATAAACAACTGGTGCATGGGCAGTGTCCATCCACAAGAACAGGTAAATCTGATATCTCCCCGGTTATTTGGTCAGTGAAATGCATTATTAGATTAAATCAAACCCTAAATTCTCGTCATTTGATTTTGAACTCACTTAAAATCTGATTATTCGCACAGGTTGAAAATGAGCTCATGAAGCTTTACGATTGTTTCTTGGTGAGAGCAATACAATATTTGACCTAATCATGTGTAATGTAGCAAAATGAAGTAATTTGCAGCTGACAAATTGGTAAAACAGTCACGTGGCTATACACTTTGGATGGAGGGGGTATTATAAACAATATTTATCAGTTTGAGCCATAATTCCAAAAACTATAAAAGGTGTCAAAAGTATGCCTGATACAAAATGGTTCGATATACCAGCCATCATTTTGCTAATCTTATATAATAATTTAAACAATCGAAATGTCTTAAAGATGACAATTACTTTGCCAATTTTACAGATCACATCAAGCAGTTAATAGAAAAGGAAAATGAGAGTATAATGACACCAATCGTGAATCGTCTGTGGACAGTTAGCAGAAACAAACGTGCTCAAACCACTAATTGCCATATTGACCAGAATAAAATCAAAATGCAAGACCATGCCATGCATTGGGTGAAGTGTTAACCTGGCTCTAAGGTGCAGAGCAGCCGCGGTGCACTCCGGGAGATCCCGTTCCTCTTCCTCAGGACGTTGCTGATGATGTTCCCGACCCCTCCCGACCCCTGCTGCTGCCGCCGCCTCGCCGCCCTCGGCCTCCTGCCGGCGGCGGGGAGCCTGTCCTGCCTCATCGGGGATCAGAGTGCTAGATCCGGGCTATCATCGCCTTTTGTCCCGCTTCAATAATCCCGTCTTTATGTCCTTGTTTCCGATAGGGAGTGCATCAGACAGCTGCGCATATAACGCTATCCTCAAGGAAAATTAATCGATTAAACTGATTCAAATCTCTTCCGGGGATCGCTTGTGTTTCCGAATGAAAATGACAGAGGTTCTTCTCACAATTCGGCGAGGCAGCAACGTCCACGTTCAAGCGACACAAACATCTGCATAAAATATGATTCAGGAAATGTCAAAAATAGCCGCTCTCTGCAGCCTGCATGTGCTCGGTGTAGTGCTGCTGCTGCTTCACGCTGCTTCACACCTCCTCTTCCTCCTCTTCCTCCTCTTCCTCCTCCTCTTCCTCCTCTTCCTCCTCTCCCTCCTCCAGTCTGCCGTCACCAGGAGGAGGTACAGGGAGGAGAGAGAGGGGATGAGGTAATGGTGGAGAGAGGAGAGGAGCAGACATGGGCTGCTTCTTAACACAAGAATAACAAATGTATCTAAGGGAAATTTGGTTTGTGACAGCTGCTCTAGTTTTGAGTCAAATAAAATTAAACAAAATAAATACAATTATTTATAAAAACATAAAAAATGTTAAAGAAAGACTGCGCAATGAAAAGATCAAATAAAAATGTAATAAAGATATCTTTGTATACACACAAAGTTAAAGGGGACCTATCATGCAAAATGCACTTTTGTACATCTTTTGTACATGAATATGTGTCCCCGGTGTTCCAGGGAACTCACCAAGTGTCAGAAAACACAACCCTCTCTATTTTCCTCCATACCCAAATCTCTAAAAAAGGGGCTGCAACGGATCTGATACAGACTGATCCAGATTTGAACACTTCTATGACGTCACAGAAGTGGCGCTACGGCTATTGGGCCAACTCTCCACCTATAAGGGGAATGTGGGGTTGGGCCACGGCCGGCCATTGCCGCTCGAAAGCGCTGCAGACGCTGTAGTACATATGCCAGGCTTGTAGTCTGCCACAAAAGCAGCGAAGAAGACTTCCCGCCCATAGTTACCATGGTTACCCTTCTGTTTATTCTCCGCTGTGGCTTTTTTTCTCCCTTCCCGAGGCAAGCGTTTGCTCCCGCTGCTTTAATTCAATGCAATCCCTCCCCGTCGAGGCAAGCACTGTGATTCTCTCCGGTTAGTCCACCAGCAGATGACAAACACCCACCTCTCCGCCTCTTCCAAGGAACGAGGGGACCGTGCGGCAGAGTTTCAGTTTCAGTTTCTTTCGCCGGTCAAGATGTCCGTTAAAGTTTAAATCTTCCGGACAAAATTAGAAAAGTGCCGGTCAAAGGTCTTCTTTGTTATTTATTGAGCTTTAAAACAAATGAACTCTATATAATAAAACACGGAGGACGGAGATCTTTTTTTCTCCCCCTCTTGACTTGATCAGAGCACGGCTCCCCTCTCCTGCAGGGGGGCGTGGTCAGCTGCAGCTCACAGAGATCAGCCCCGTAGACAGCAAACAGCACATAGAGCGAAATGAGGCATGGCTAAAATGCATGATCTGTTTGGTATTTTGAAAACAGAAACGTATAAATATACCTTATATAGGTATGGCCCTACAATATATCATTTAAATATAGCATGATAGGTCCACTTTAAGGTAAGAATGTTCAATGAAAATAAATAAAAATATCTTTATAAAGTAAAATGTCGTCTAAAATACATAACATTTTAATTTGCTCGCTTAAGAATCATTTAAAAAAGCCTGAGTATGATCTACTCAAAATAAAATACATGAATTTAACCTTTATTAATTCAGATAATCTCATTAAGTGATCTCATTCTCAAGAGAGAACTGGAACCAGATTTTCTGACAAACTGTTTAAAATCTGCACCAATCACAGAGGAGCAGGTAAAAGGATTGCACAAAATGGAAAATGATCTGAAACATGTTTTTTTTTTTATCATGGATTAATTTAATTATAATCTAAGGATAATGCAACAAGTTTATTCTCCTTACTTTGTTTCAGATGGAGAATGTACCTTAAATAACATACAAGCATACTTTACATGACCAGACACAAATCAGTAAACTATACTAACTGCCATGTCACGTATTTTATCAATAACTAAATCAATGATGACATTATGATTCAGTGCTACAGGTGCAGTAAGTGCTTCCTGAAAGGAAAACACATCCAGTTTCAAATGGCGTTCAGAATCAATCCCTGCAAACATCCTTGATGATGAAAATGTTCCATGAACAGCATTATTAATGACCTTGCCACTAGATGTTTCAATTGTAGGACTGCTATGATAAGTCTACTTTGTTTTACATCATGAAAACCTAAAACTCACTTCATCTTAAGTAAAACGCAGATACTTGTGGATGTATAAAAGCTGCAATTCCTGCCAGATATCAACAAAGACAGAATAAATGGCCATAAATCATGAGATCACAATGCAATTGAGCCCTGGAAAATGACTGTACTTTATTATTTATTATGCTTTATGTCACTTTCCAGTTGAAAGAATCACAGCGATAGCATTTACTGTAGAACATTTTCAAATGCAGCCATGTTCACTTCACAGTATGCTGCTTTGCAGATATTGACACAACCAGGCTTGAATCATATGTGGAAATGCCTCGTTACAATAAAATGTGTATATTATGGTATTATTGTGTACCCTACCTGCTTTTGAGTCATCAAGCTGCATGTTGACAGAAAAAAGCAGGTAACATAAAAAGCAAGATAACCACATTAGACCCAACTCCCTTCAAAAATGTGTTTCTTCCTCGAAAGAGTTTACAATCAACCACCAAAGCACCTGCAGAGAGAATCATTTGTGCACTAAACAAAAGGCAGATTATTAAAGGTGGGGTAGGTAATTTTGGAGAAACCAGCTCGAGATCGCTAGAATTTGAAAATACAAAGCCGGAAAAAAATCTGCCACTTCCTTACAGAGCCCCTCCTCCAACACACACGAACGCGCACATGACCAATGAGGGCACGAGATAAGTTTGTGCACAGATGGAAGGCTGACAGGCAGGTAGGCCATCCAGTCATTTTAGCCGGGCCGGCTAAAATGATTGGTCGTGCTTTTTACAGTACTACGGCTTCCACAGATGACATTTTTTTGTGGATTTTTTGTCAAAGCACTTAAGATATTCATTGCTATCGGGATGTTAAGAGCATTCCATGGAATATAACAAAAAGTGTATCTTGAGCCGGTTTCTCAAACTTACCTACCCCACCTTTAAGTGTTTGATGACAAGACCTGTAAATGATTTAGTTAATATAATTATAACTTTATGGACTTGTCCCTTAGAGTATAGCCCAGATATTTCAACTCAAAGATCCCTCCTGAGGACTCAAACATAATCTCTTCCCTGTAAATACCTTTTCTAAACGTTTCTTAGGAACATTCCCGATGGATTTAAATGATTTGTAAGGCTGCTTGGGAGTAGCTGGGAGATTTGGGATATGAAAATTAATATTTGATTCTCTTGTAGTCATGTGCTCTCAGTCTCCTGTATGTTTCAGGATATTATGTAAATGTAGGACCTATTTCCATACTACATGTGATAGGAGAGCTAGGACAAACATAGTGAGTGTAAAGACCTGGAAGTGTAACAGTTTCTTGAAAATACATTTATTTTTCACTTTTAATACATTTCTCCTCAGTTCCCAGCCTCTAAGAGCACTTAAATGTCTATGGCTTCTTCCTGAAAGTTAACACACAAAAAGACCAATCTTTTTTTGGGTTAAAGCAGGAAGAAAATAAGTGTGTATTCTTACGTCGTTTCTGTGAGACAGCCTGAAGGCAGGCGGTGATAATGTCGTAGTTTTTCTGCACTTTGTGGTTCAGTCGGTCCCGTCTCCTCAGCTGGCGGAGCAGTTTGGCCGACTGCAGTCCCGTACGATATTTCACCTCCTGGATGATTGAAAGCAGCTCCTCCGCGGCTGAAAAAACAAACACAGAAATCGCAGGTTTAATCCTGGTAGACATTGCAATGACGTGAATCATGCATGTTGGGATGAAAATCAAATGTTAAATATCCTAAACTACTTTTAAAATTATAAAACTGATAATAAAACTCTTTCCCAACTGACAAATTCTACATGAACATGCTTCAAAAATGAGATGTCCGACCATTTAAGTGAATCATTGTTAAATATGACATTTACATTTATCTAAGTAAAGCCCCTTAATATAGTTTTAAAAACATGTGATGAGGATATCTCTTCCAATTGCCTGTTTTCCATGCTGCAGGCAAAGATGAAATAAAAACCAGAACACTGCCATAAACACAGACCATCCTTCCAATAATGGAGACAACATTTTTTAAGATAAATCAAATCTGAATTTAAACTAAACGGGGCACAAACAGATCCGTGATGAAGAAGACTTCTTCATTGTTTTTGTTATTATGTTCATGTGTGAAAATAAAAAAAGGGATCACTATGCAGTATGGGCTTATCAAATGATGCAGTATGAGCTTATAAAAAAAACTGTTTATCTCTGTATTTTATCTTTTTAAATGCAATCTAATCTGCTTTAGCACTCAGATTGCATGGGCATTCTTTCACAATGTTTGCATTCTAAAGACAAGGACATTAATAAAAACAAACGACAGAATCATAAGTAATGAAACTAGTCATATTTCAAAAACTGATAATCTTCTCATCAACATTTCAAAAATATTTTGTAGCTTAACCTTTCATATTATCACTGTTTCAGTTTCATGAACACCTGCAGACACTGCCCAGGAGGTGGCAGGGTCTCCTTTAAAGGACACTAAAAAGAGCTTAGAAATGTGTGTACTTATTTAACCACACTAATGACCAGACTCCACCTTTAAACGTTTACTAAAGAGGATTTTATCGTAATCACAAGTATCACATTGTTATTGGAAGCACTATCAGAGGGTTTCCTCTTCCTGATGGCAGCATTGTTTCACTCGACTGAGCGTCACGTGTGTGTGGAGGGCAAACACTGCGCTCAGAGGCCAGTCTGTGTTTACTGTAGGATTCTACTTTAACAGAGAAAACAATGGCAGCGTAGACCTCCCTGCAACATGCCTTTCACGACTCTGAGGAAACAGTGTTTATCAGCACACACTGAGGCGATTCAACCGAGCTGTCAACACACTCATCAGCCTCTGTGTTGGAGTGTGTTTGTCTAAAGGTCTGCATACCTGTAAACAGTGAGGCCTTGTACACATACCTGCTACATATCATGATAAACCTTTTATTTTTATTTTTAAACAAACTCATATTTTTCCTTTTTAAAAAGATCTCTTACTTTGTTTATGCATGCACCAATGCCCCAAAACAAATCCCTTGTATTTGCAAACCTCCTTGGCAACAAACAAAATCCTCAATCTGATTACAGGCACATTTAATTGAATTAATAAATTCAATTATGGTACACTGGAGCCTTGTTTTATTAAATGTGTCTCCTACTGTTTGCTGTCTGTCTCCAAACGGACTTGAAGGTAAAGAAAACCCCTCCTGTGATTTACAACTAGCTCATATAGATGGATAATTAATCACTTTAGTCATGGCTATCACAAGACTATACACAATTTATTTATTATCATTTGTAGGGATGCAACAGGCCATACACCGAGAGTACTAAGCAGATCAACTGACCAATACATTTGACTTTTCAATGCAAGTTCTCTGTATCAAGAGCTTTTATGCTGGGGAATTTACATGGCATTTACACTATATAAAATTGTACAAATATCTGCAGATATATTGCTTTTTTATTTAATCAATCATGTCACTTTGTTTACATATTCCTCATAAAATAATGGTTATGTATGTATTATCAGAAAGTCTGCTATTAGATTTTCCTGCCTCATGTATTAGACCAATAAAGCTCTCAGTCAAAGTTTAAATATCTAAAATAAAACAAATATTGGCACCATGTATGAGTTAGCAGATATATTGAACACTAACACCACATCCAAATATCAGCCCTAAAAAAGATGGATATGTATGGTAAATGTATGCCTAATTTGTGAAATGCATGAACATAAAAAGTGTATCACAGGTTTGAACAAATAATCACATTTGTTTGACCATGCCAGATGCAACTTGACCTGTCAAAGCCCCAGGCCCACAGTCAGAGGATCATTTAAAGTATGAAAAGAAGGCTTTAATTTCTTTCTTACTGTGTTTTGTTATTATAATAAAAAAATGTGAACAGCTTTATTGATTGTAATGCTATAGGAGGAGTCTAAAATATGGTTTCTTCCCTGTTGTTTTCCATTGTAGCATGTCCTTGACTGTTGCTGCTTATTGTATAAAAATGCATGTGTTTTGTGACTTTGTTGATCTAAAAACATCCCAGGCCATATTGGACCCAAGCCAATCAATCAATCAATGAACAGACCCCTCACCTTTCTGTGCCAGGTAGTTCATCTGATGCCTCCTTGTGTGCTTCTCCTGGAGCTCCTGGAGGAAGCTGGACCCGGAGTTACTGCGGCCGAGGAAAGCATCAGATCCGGACGCCTCTGTGGAGCTATCCCAGCTGTCCAAATTCCTCCTGCTACCACCGTTGTACGTCTCATAAAGCTCCACCAAAAGACAGTCCACTATGGACCTAGACCTGATGAATTTGACTCCATCTCCCGTGGTCTCAGAGTCACTGTCCCCTGCCGCGCTAGTCCTAACAGCGGCAGGTGGAGCTCCGTGCTCCCCGGTGGAGGGGACCTGTTGTCCCGGAGGCGATGATGTGTCATAAGTTGACTCGGTGGAGTTTGTCCACCGCTGGAAGCCGGAGAAGTCCTCCTGAAAGGCGGATACACAATTGACGAAAACGCCGCTTTCGTCCTCGGAACATACAACGTCGCATATGTCAACTTCCAAAAGTTCGGTTCCGTTTAATTTCACCGGCGACGCCATGTTTCTTTAAATTAATATTGTTTTACAGACATCCTAGCAGAAGTTAGAACGTTTTCTGTGAAGAGGATAGAGTTCCTGGAGCACTCCATTCCTCACCTCAGAAAAGGTAGAGACCCGTTTGACAGCTTTTAGTTTTATTCCTGAACGTTCCGGACTTGACTTCCCTGCCCCCCCTTCTCCTGTATAACAATGGGCCGGCCCACTCTGGCTAAATATCTCAACGGCTGCCAAACTTTCTTCAGGTCGCGCGACAGGTGCTGGTGGATTGACCAATCACAGAAGAGACAAAAGTAAACCGACCAATCCGCATCCTTGTTTAATCATTAAGCCAGGAGGTAATTTTGTACGTTTATTTGAGCAATACTTAACACAATTGAATGTATTAAACAACGGAGAATAACACTAACATGATAATGAACTTTTAATTTGAGGTATATTTTGTAAACGTTTACTTGTTCATGTATCTGCCAAATACATCTCCAGATAAGCAGTGGTGGTTGTTAAACACACATTGTATGCTTGTTGCAAAGCAAACAGTTGTGGAAGTAAGCCTACTCTCAGACCTTTTACTCAAATTGGTAAAAGTACCACAGTGTATAAACACTCACAAATAAATATCCTGCATTCAATATGTTACTATATTAAATGTAGTTGCCAAATATAGGCTACTAACAAATAGTCTACAATATGCCTACAAAAAGTAAAAGTACTTGGGGTGGGATGGGCCCATTCAGAATAATGTAGGCTAACACTGCAGCCATTATTGAATTATAATCACTGATGTATTATTTTGTACATTATTGAGTCTTTATCTATAGTAATATTATATAATAATTTGTTAATAATATGTTACATTGATAGGCTAATCTGAATCAGCAAAGTAAAAATGTTTATCAAATAGATGTAGTGAATCAAAAAAGTACTTTATTTTCAGAAGTATAAAGTTGCAGAAAGTGGGAAAATAAGTACATAATAAGAACAAGTAGCCTACTTTGATACAAATGATGCTACTTAGCTGCACTCTGCAATTGCACTCCACTAGAGTAAAGGTGTTTTCCACCGCAGTAAATAAAAAAAAACACACGTCGGTGCTCTCTGGTGGACAGATTGTGTAATGGCGTTTTAAACGACCTCAAACAACATTCTGTACTGCAACTTCTAGTATATTATCTGTCACCATGTAAGATATATCTGCAATCATCTGATAGTGACAGATATCTAAGCTTGCCTGATGTTTGGTATATTGTTGCTACTTTATACTTCTACTTTATTTACTTCACTTACATTAATGCAGCTTTATAAATTAATAAAAATGAATAACAAATAAATAACAATACATTATGACATATTATTGATAAAGCTACCCAACAATATAAGTCATTAACTTAGCTCGACTTTACAAGCTGCAGAGTTAAAGTAATAAACTTAATAATGCATTAATTAATAATATATATCCAATAATATAATATATGATATATGATTATAAAATGAGTCATTCTGAATAATGAATACTTTTAATTTTGGTCCTTTGATCTTAATGCTTTTGTACGTTTTCTATCATTTTGAATGCAGTACTTTTATTTGTAACATAGTATTTCTACCCTGTGGTGACGAGTACTGTGGTATAGGAGCAATCCTGAATTTAAATCCTGAATAAAAGCACAACAGAAGCATTAAAATATCTTTAAAGTACCAACAATAAAAGTAATAATCATGCAGAATGGTTTATTGCAGAATCATGTTTCGCCTATTTTATTTTTGTATTATAATTATTGATGTATTAATGTGCACAAGACTGTTTTGGCTTATTTGAACATGGCAATAATATATATATTTCTTAATCATTCCACCTCTGACGGTAGAATAACTTTTCATTAATATAGTTGTTTTCTATAGAAAATAAAATATAGCAGTATAATGCAGTAATAAAACAATAAACCATCAGCATGGGCTAAAAAGTAAGAGTAACGGTTATTTGTACTGATTAGTCATGCTGGGTGGGCTTCTTCAAATCAGCTGACTCGGGCTTCCGTAGCCGCGCAGCACATGACCGGGAAACAAGGAAGTGTTGTCCGAGAAGATACAGGGCCGAGTCTGTTTTCCTCCGCAGAGGACTTGGTAAATTCATTTCACGCTTAAAAGGAGAAGCCGAGCTGAAGGAAGAGACGGACAGCTTCAGTATTTTATCATTACTTCATGAAAATGGGTTTAAATGGCGCGTGTTCGCTCATTCTTTTACACAGTTTACTAACCTGCGTCACTTTGAGCAGCGGGCTGTTTGGAAAATCATTAAAGAGACCTAACATTGTTTTGATCCTCACCGACGACTTGGACATCGCTATCGGGGGTCTGGTGAGTGCATTTGTTTGTTTTTTTGCTATTATTACATGCTAGGTGTTTATTTGTTTTACCAATAAGTCTGTGTTTGCAGGATAGGACGATGCATGTGATTTAACTGATGTAAACTTGACTTTTATTTGTAGTCCAGAGTGATGAAGCTGCTCACATTCCTCCTGGTTAGACGCATCCTTGCGGCATTTCTCATAGTCAGCATAATATTTGCTGACTTAAAATCTCGAAATTGAAACGGCTGTCTGCCTGACAGTGTGTTGTTTGTTTGTTTAGAGGTAAAATAAGTATGCAGATGTTTATTTGAGTAAGATGTTAATACCACACTGAAAATACTCCACTAAAAGCTACCTAAATGTAAGTATTATCAGCAACATTTAGTATGAAAAGTAGAAGTACGTCATTGTGTATCTCCTTAGCCTACTCTTTAATCAGCTACATTTGCATAACCTGCTTTGGCAACACACACTAAACTGTTCTTATTTTATTTATTTTTATGTATCAGTACTTTGTATGTGCCTTTTTTTAACACACTGGATATTTTAATTTATTTTAGGGATTAATTCAATAATATTAAATAATCTACGGATAGTTTTTTTGTTGTTGCGGTTATTGATGTATTGTTTGCTCGTCAAAAGGTTAGTATACAATGAAACTAAAGGGAACTTTTATAAATAGCATGGTTTGCCAAAAGAAAAAAAACATTGAGTTTACCATTACTACAAGACACACGTTTTTTTATATTTCTGAAGTTGGAACTAGTGGGTGTTTGGTAAATAAAAGACAGACAGTTTTAAGTTAAATTAATTCAATCGTATTTTTCAGCTCTAACCACAACAGTTGGTAAAGCTTAAAATATATAGAGTTTGGATCTGTGAAGAATGTTTATGCATAATATAAATATATTTTAAGTAAATGTTATTGTCTCTGTCTGCATGCCAATGGGTCAAAACAGTGTTAAAATCCATATTAGGCACTGATGCAACTTAATTAGATAACGGTTACAAAGAAGCTTGTTGTTGCCAAACTAAAGAACACAGGAGGCCATTACATTACTCCGATAATGAATTTGTCCCATCACTATCTTTTCCTTCCAGAGTCCACTCACCAAGACGAAAAAACTGATAGGTGATGCTGGAATATCGTTCACAAACGCAGTAAGTATCAGCATCATTATCGTCCATTTAGTGCTGTAGAGAGAAGATAGTACAGATATTAAAAAAGAGCCATTTTCCTCCTCTCCTGCCCCTAACAGTTTGTGGCCAGCCCGCTGTGCTGCCCGAGTCGCGCCAGCATCCTGACGGGGAAATACCCGCACAACCACCACGTCATCAACAACACGCTGGAGGGGAACTGCAGCAGCACAGCCTGGCAGAAGAGCGAGGAGGCGCACACCTTCCCCGCCCTGCTGAGGACGTACGGAGGCTACCAGACCTTCTTCGCCGGGAAATATCTGAACCAGGTTAGGGATGATACCACGACATACTTGTGCATTTGGGTAGGATGTAGGAACAAAATAGAAGAGAAACGTGAATTGGAACCATTGGAACCAGCTTAAACCAACTGTGCAATACCAACAATACTTAAGCTGTGTAACTTCAATGTTTCAATTATTCAACTGTGACAGTCTAATATTACTAAGGATTAGTACTGCATTTCAGTTTACATTTTGAGCAATAATCGGGTTTTCATCAATAATATATTTATTTTTCCTTGTATTCCACATTGCATATTCACATTTTTACAACTTTTTAATAAATTGTAGTACAATGTACACATTTTACTTGACTTCCTTATGTATGCCGATCTGTCCAGCATTTTTGCAACACTTCCAATAAAATAAAATAAATTGACTTTACAGTAGGTGAATAGTTAAACACTGTCACAAGGTCTTCCCTTTGTGATTTAGTCTCATGATTAAGTCAGGCTGTCAAAGTTGCATCAACCCTTGAGATAAACAGACGAACAAATGGGGAACCAGGAGACACACTTCACCTAAACAGAAAACAAATAACGCTTAACCCCGTTTTCCAGCTTCCCTGTGTCGCAGCAGCTATAACTTTTAACTGACTTTTAACTGACGTGCCTAAAGTGATACAAAAAGTGGAAGGAGTCCACTCGTGAGAAATCAAATGTTTCTGCTCCTCCTAATGTGTTGCCGATTGTTATTTATTAACACAGGTACCGCCCCCTTAACACTATATAAGTGCAGGCGTGTTCCATGTGTGTACTCTGGCACACGCCCAAGAATTGTAGAGATGCCACCAGGCCACTTTTATAATTGTATATTCCCTAAGAGAAGAGCAAACATAAGAATCGATGGGTACCAACAGAATAAGATACATGCATTAGGCCCATAAACTCTCATATACGTCTTCCTGGAAATATATATTTATATTGTTTGTCTCTTTATCGATGTGCTGCTATAATACCAATCAAGAAAACTGAATTTAAGACTTTGGTTGTATATGACGATAAATAAATTCACATCATTATTCTGTTTGTGTTTCAGTATGGGCACTCGGAGGCTGGGGGGGTGGAGCATGTTCCTCCAGGCTGGAACTACTGGGTCGGACTGGTAAGACAACAACCTTTTGAGCCCCAAATGTACACCTAGGCTCCCTCCTGTCTGACACAATTGTTTATTTTTGTTTACAATTGAAAGCCTTTTATTATATGGTCCTGTCTGCAAGTCAAATCCTGTGCCATGAATTTGGGAAATGATAATGCAACAGTCATTGATCTGCATGTTGTCCGTACTGTATATTATATATATATTCCTTTCCCCCCCCCTGTTTTTGGTACATAAATGTCTCTGGGAAGTTTGTTTCTGTGTGTGTAAGAGCAGATCTGAGTTCAGCTCAGTCGTCATGTGACTGTGAGCTGTCTGCAGCAGCAGCCAGACGAATAAATAGACTAAAATTAGATTTTCTTTCAGTCTCTAACTGGGTTTGTCAGTAAGCAGAGGTCATGGTGGTAATACGACCGGCGTGCAGACCTGTTTTTATCTGCAGCGCTACTAAACAAACACATCTGGTCCCATGACCACAGCTTATCTTAACTCGGACAGAGTCATGCTGATTCTATAGATTGTGTGTGAGGAACATGTGACCGTGAGGACGTTTAGTTAATGTTTGTAATCCTACACTAAGCAAGCTTAAAGTGCTGACAACATAAAAAGGGTTTTGGGCTTACGTTTTTATATTTGTTCTTATTTTACTTTTAATATCTGTCCTCTACAGAAATCCTAAAGGACGATGGAGAAAAATAAGATTCTGGTGATCCATTTTCGATCCATATTTTTCTTTCCTGTGTTTATGACTTTCTAAGTTCTTAAATGTTTCTTTCATTTTGGAACAGGTGGGGTAAAGAGGTTTTGCAAGGTGAAATAAAAGAGTTTTGCCACTACAGTGCAGACTTCATAAGTTTATCTCGAGCAAGAATGTATATAAAAGAAGTAAAAAATAACTTGTGCTAAAGGGGTTATATTTCTACCACAACATAAACAGAAGCACAAAAATGGTAAAATCCCAAATAAGAGTATTTCATGAAGTTGTTTGTGTTTTCCAGGAGAAGAACTCTAAGTACTACAACTACACTCTGTCAGTGAACGGGAAGCCTGAGGAACACGGAGCAGACTACAGCAAAGACTACCTGACAGACGTCCTGGTGAGGAAATCAAACACACCAGCTTTATTTGATTGTGTGTCATTCTTGGTTTTCCTGTTCTATCCTATGTATTGAAAATAATATTTTAAATTGTGACTGTCCCATTAAAACAATATTCTATAAACTTAAGAATATAATGATTTTAATATGATATAAATGAAAGAACAAGCAAAATGTAATATAACAAGCAAGGTCGTTAGGGTCAGTAAGAGCTCAATTAGTTTCACATGAATTTTTAGCTTTGACTTTAGGATTTAGTTTAGTTTTCAGAGTGTGTTTGCTTATTTTAGATTACATTCTTTTTTCTTAAAGGGTCTAGTTTGTATACACAACAATATGTTTCATTGCTTGTTTTCATTTTAGTTTATGATAATAACCCAAATAGAAATGCCTAGAATGAACGTCTTTGCTGCGACTCTCAGGCCAACAGGTCTCTGGACTTCCTGCAGTATAAATCAAACTACCAGCCGTTCTTCATGATGGTGTCCATCCCGGCCCCCCACTCCCCGTGGACGGCGGCCCCTCAGTACCAGAACAGCTTCAACACCACCAAGGCTCCCCGAGACCCCAACTTCAACATCCACGGGAAGGTAGGCTCCTCCTTCCACTTAAATATCCCCTGTGAGGATGGGACAACAAAAAAAAGTGACATTATTCCATCTCCCCTCAGGACAAACACTGGCTGATCCGACAGGCTAAAACTCCCATGACCAACTCCTCAGTGCAGTTCCTGGACGATGCCTTCAGGAAACGGTCGGTCATTGCTGCGTCTATCGTTCTTCCTTCGTTTCTTTCTTCTTCCTTCTCTCCATCCACTCCTTTATTTAGCTTTGCACTCTTCATTTTTTCAGTGATGACAATAAAGCACTTAACTCTAACAATGCTCGTAAACACAGTAGTTTGACCTTTTTATGAGCTTTGTTTCTATATAAAGTCTCACATTTTGGTTTCCTGGCCTGCAGATGGAGGACTCTGCTGTCAGTGGACGACCTGGTGGAGAAGATCGTGAAAAGTCTGGAGGTCAGATCTGAACTGGACAATACGTACATCTTCTTCACCTCAGACAACGGATACCACACAGGTAATCAAAATATAGACTCTTAAAATGGCAGATGACAAGTAGATGTTCCTTTTTTAAAACACAAATAAACAAGGACTCTGGATTCAGAAGGTTTTAAGTTCACAGTGTTTGTGTTTTCTTTCAGGTCAGTTCTCTCTTCCTCTGGATAAGAGGCAGCTCTACGAGTTTGACATCAAAGTTCCTCTCATGGTCCGAGGACCGAATATCAAACCCAACCAGACCAGCCAGGTACACGCGTGTTCCGTTGTAGTATCAGCTCAGTGCCTCCCTGCAGTATTTGTTGAACTAAATGAAATGTAATAACCCTGTTTTCAGATGCTGGTGGCCAACGTGGACCTCGGCCCGACCATGCTGGACATCGCCGGCTACAACGTCAACAAGACGCAGATGGACGGTATGTCCTTCCTGCCCGTTATGGTGAGGTCACTAACAACCCGTTCATGTTATTGTTCTTCTTCAGTGTCTGATTCATCAAAAACAGACATCAGGCATCACATCAGTCTATTTACAGTCAAAAACAAAACAGCTGTTCATTCTGATGATCTTTAAACCGGCACCACTTTTCTCCTAATATATCATTTATTTTATTATTATTATTATTATACAAGTGTTTTGGGGGAAAACATAAATCTTATTAAAAATATATTTTTTTAGATATTCAAAATAAACAGATTCCGATATTAATATTGCACTTTAAATTGATTTAATTAACACAAAACACAAACATTTTTAACAGATTACATTTAAAAATAAATTATTCTAGTTGAAGTAATGTAAAAGTTACAGTGCTGAATTTAAGAAAGTTTGCGCAATATTACTTTTCTATTTTTGCTTTCAAATATGTTCATTGTAATTCTATGTGGCACCTGTGTAAGTATGACTTATTTCACACTTAATTTAATTAGTTTACTTTTGATTATTTCCATCTGTATTACTTACTTGTTTTTTAAGCAAGAGTGTCCTCTGGGGTTTGATCAAGTTCTACGTTATCTTGACCTATCAATGAGAGGTCGTGCACATATGTACCTGTGTGTACCTGTGTGTGTTCAGGAGGGCAGGGTGAACAGCAGCAGCTGGAGGACAGACATCCTGGTGGAGTACGAGGGGGAGGGGAGCAACGTCTCTGACCCCGCCTGCCCTCTGCTGGGACCCGGGGTGTCGGTAAGAGAGGAAACTTTCATTTGATCTGTGAGAGGGAAGAAGTCAAATAAATAAACAAATTATTCTCCTCCTTCCATCCGTCCTCTTTCTGCAGGAGTGTTTCCCAGACTGTGTGTGTGAGGACTCGTACAACAACACGTACGCGTGTGTGCGCACGGTCGCCGCCTCCTCAAACCTGCAGTACTGCGAGTTTGACGATAATGAGGTTGGCCTTTCTTCTTCCATCTAATTTGTATTGCCCTTTTGTGACCTGAAAAGATAAAGACTGTATACAATCATTTATATTTGGATGTGCTGAAACACCATTTGTCATGCAAAAGTACTTTTAGTTCCATTCCAGTCTTTTATTCTAACTTTGTCTTTGTGCCTCTGTAGATTTCTCCTCCATTCACCAGATGACATTAGATAATGCCTAGTGTGTAACTTTAGGAACAACAATTTCCTTCGGGACAAATAAAGTCCTGTTTTATCTAATCTGCATAAATTAAACATAACATTTCAGAAAAGGTGTTATACAAAAAACAATTGCCTTAATGTAAAGTAATCACATGTTGAATTTGTATCTTATTGATTGGTTTAAAGAAGTGTTTCTCCCTAAAGCCATCATATCTTTGTGAAGATTCTCTACTTTGGTGCCTACTGTACTGGTGGTGGAATCCATCTTATTTGTTAGTTTCCTCAGCTGGAAGGTAACATTGGTTGTGGATGTGCGCCCCCTGCAGGTGTTTGTAGAAGTCTACAACGTGACAGCAGACCCCTACCAGCTGACCAACATCGCAAAGAGCATCGACCAGGAGGTTCTGGAGAAGATGAACCACCGGCTGATGATGCTGCAGTCCTGCGCCGGACAGTCCTGTCGGACCCCCGGCGTCTACGACTCCAGGTCTGTTCAGCAGCGCCATGCTGCATTGATTCTCTGAAAAGTGAAAGAAAACAAATATATCTCTGACAGAATCCAAGTTGTAATATTGCATACTCTTGCATGTTACTGCATTTGTGTGTAGGGACTTTCTATTACTGACTAACTGTAGTTAACAAGGTTTGTAGTACTAGAAAATCATTTATACATTGAAAGTGTATTGAACTATGACTGCATAATGGGGCCATTGAAAGTAAAAAATAAACGAATGATGGTGCCAAGAGAGGGGGTTTATATCCCCTGTGCTTAGAGTGTTACATTTATGACAATAACTTGAAGAGAAAACACCTAGAACATTTTCTAAATTAGCGGCATAAATGTACAAAAAAAGCAGAAAATGTCGATTATTTTGTCCATGAATAACATTCAGACACTATTTATGTTTTTGTCAATGTATTGCCTCATAATCTCAGAGAATATTTTAATTTCGCACTATCTATATTATCCATACAATTATTATATTGCAAACTGTATTTCTTTCCAGGGAACTTCTTTGAAATTATTCAGAAATGACAGACCAACAGTTTCAGGAAATCTTCTTTGTTTGACTGGTACCTGAACGCAGCCTGTTCTACTGCGTATAGTTCTAGAATCGCATTAGAATATGAATGCCTCTGTCTTCTCAGGTATAAATTTGACCCGAGACAGATGTTTCCGAACCACAGCTGGCCGCCCAGCAGCATCCGACAGAAGAGGAAGTGAGGAGGTGGAGAAGAGGAGATGAAGGATGGAGGGAGGAAGAGGAGGGCTGAATAGTTTTTAGTATCCAGCCTCCTGCTGGTGTTGCCTTGTTTCAGGCCTGAGCGGTCTGTGTGTGTGTGTGTGTGGATGGAGAAGGTATCAGGTGAGGAGTGGAGGGGGGGGAAGAGGCCTCTGTGGGTGCTCGCCCCCCCCCCTTAAAGCCTCCAGGTTGGGCTGCTGTTTGTTGAGTTTGTCTGTAGGTGTGCAGGGAAATTATTCAATGTTGATTTATACTCACAAGCCATTAATCCTTGTCGTCTTGTAAGCATTCATTGTATTTGTTTAAACCCCTACAGAAAAGGGACAAAAAGAGACCCAGTTCTTATAAATGTCTCCGTTGAGAAAATAATATCAAAGATCCAAGCAGCGATAAGGTCACATTATTTTTTTCTTATTTAAATAGTGCACAAGAAGTGGTTTGCTGCATTCGGATGGTCCTCAATAATTTGTCAAATTTTAAATATAAATCACTGAGTTGCACTGGTAGTAATATAAAACTAATAAAAGCATAATAATTAAAAACAGCACTGTGGTCACTTGATAATGTCAATGAGGATCAACCGACTGCAGCTAAATAAATCCTGGTACGATGATAAGAGAAAACGTAAAATCGGAACGATCACAGGTATTTGTAGTGCAATAATTAAGTATATAAGACGATCAAAAGTTGAACGCTCACCTGTAAATTTGGTGTAATTCATCAATAGTGTTGGCTTGAATAGATGTGAGAAGGAGATGGAAAGATTATACTGCGAGGAATGCAGAGAAAAGCGAGCCGCCTACAGAGAAGTTGACAAACAGGAAGTCCAACAGAAACACATCTCACAGAAACGAGTGCCTACATTTACAATCCAGCTGTCACTTCCACTCTGAAGCTAAAGACAATACGACTGAATAACGATCACACACTGAGAGCAGACGGCATGTGACAAGGAAAAGCTAACACCAATTTCGATTTTTGTCACAGTCATTACTTTTTATGCAGGAGTCTGAAATCAGTCAGGAAAAATGTCCAATAATTATTAGTGGTATCAATAAAAACCTGCTTATAAGTTTACAGGACCATTTCTGACTTTGAAAGCACTTGCTACACCGTTTCAGTATCAGACTCGCATACAAGTACATTACCTAATTTCAGTGTTAAAGCACCTTTTTCATCCAAAATGTTCTTTTTTTTCATTTCCTATTTGGATTTAATTCATCCTGTGTTGTATATTTCATATTTACTTTATTTATGTCACAACTGTCACTTTAGATGGGCAGAAAATAAATGTCTATGTTGGGGTGGAACATTTCGACAACTATTTAGTTTTGCGTTTAACTGAGCCACATTTAAATAAATAAAAAGGGTTAAGGAGAAGAGATACATTTTCTAGAGAAAAAAAGGTTAAACTTTTCCAATAATCAGGGTTCCTGTTTTAGGAGAGTTATTTTGTTTTGTTTTTATTTATTTATGTTTCTAACAAGAATTCTCATTTTGTTTTCTGAGCTGGATGTGAGCACTTTTTGAAGGACAAATTAAAAAAATATATTTGATATTTTTATCCATGCCACCTTCTCCCTCAAATTTAAAAAGAAGCTTTTTGTTGGATAATTGTGTTTTTTTCCCCCGCCACACTTTAACTATTCTGCGGTGTTGAAATAAATCTGATTTCCAGAGACTAAATAAATGACAAATCAAAGCTACCTACAGAAAGTATTTGTTGGTGATACATTTTTTTTTTTAAATAAAGCTCAAATTTGTTCAGTTTCCAGAATCTAACCGAAGATCTGATCAGGACATTTTGGGGGGAAATATGAAATATCAGAAAGTCTGGTCAGAACTAAACGACTGACTCTTGTTGTGTGTGTTTATCTCAATTGTGAATGATTTTCTGACTGGCTGTTAAAATGTGTTCCACTGCTACTGGAGTTATTATTCTTGTAATAATAATAATTATATCATTTTGTTCATGCAGCGGTTTCCTCCTCTGTATCTGATTCACATCTGGACTGAATTAATGTGAGAACCCTGATCTCCACATGTGATTATATTTCACTGATGCACTTTCCAATCTGTCAGAACTCTCTTTATGGAACCATTAGTTTTATTTTATTAAACATTTTTGTAGAGTAGCTTTTTATGATTCTGTATTTTGGGCTTGATTGTGTGTTTGTCCAAATAAAGAGATTCTCAAAATACTACATTTGTCAATTTTAGATTTGTCTTTTTGTCACATTTACACAAAGTATTTTAAGTTTTGATAACCGGTGACCCTAAAAGCCTTCTTCATGAACTTACCTTTAAATCTTACCTGTTTTATTTAAACATTTCCTGTTAAATTCTAAAACAAATGCAACGTTTATGTTAAGGTTTGATGCCAGAACTGTAGAAAACTACATATTTTGCATGCAATTACTGTATTTTCCAGATTAATCAATACATATTTTAGTCTATTAAATGTCAGAAATTAAATTCAGAGAATACTCACAATCCCAGATGTCTTCAAATGTCCAAATAGATTTTTAAATGAATTACGCATTTTAGCTCTGTAACACATTTGTCATTCACGAGTCAAATGTTCTTTTTATATAAAATATTTATTTAATTTCAGCTTTTACAATTTATTTTAGTATTACACATTCCTTCCCAAATTAAAATGTTGGCTGTAAATTAAATACAAAGTAAAATAACAAGAGTTTATTTTGGAAGATGTATTCCAGTTGGATAAAGGTGTCTTCTGCAGACGGTGTGATGATGAATGGGTGGAGTATTTTTTACTTCATTTCTATATTTTAATGTACAGTATTTTAGTTATATGATATGGTTTTAGCTCAATGTTCCTGGGGAAATTAAAACATAAATTACATTCTATGAATCAGCATGTTATCACTTGTGTTATTGCTCCCACGGAAACGTTTACTTTTCTTAAAATGTCTTCACAGTTTCTCAGTTCTTCTCTCAGTTAGTGTGTGAAAAGGTCTGACCTCAAACCAAAATATCCAGGTGTGATCAATGCAACATCTGCACGTTGCTCCAGGGGCGAACAGCCACTAAAAACCTTAACAAGTAAAATCCAGAAGAACCACACAGTTCCTCATAGCTGCCCGATCACAACAGTCCAGAAATAAAAACATTAATCCTACGTTAAGTTTCCTGCCGCGGCCCGTCATCAGCTGTCCGTCATCAGCTGTCCGTCATCAGTTTCCCCCCCCCCTCCAGGACGGGCAGGAAGGGCAGGTCGGTGCTGCCCAGGTACGTCCTCCCGCGGTGCTGGAACACGTCGCTGATGGCCCAGGTGAGGCGGGCCTCGGGGTCCTGCAGCGAGCCCACCAGCCCCCCGTCAGACCCCAGCTCCAGGACCAGGGCGTAGCGAGGCAGCAGGACGCGGTACCAGCTCAGAGGAATCACCTGGAGACAGAAACACTTCATGGTTATCTAAAAAACTGTTTTGATAATACATCATATTTGATCGTTCCAGTGTCTCAAGGTTGTGAATTTACTGCTTTGTGTGGATTGTTGGACTATGAGTTTGTAAAGTGTAAAACCACATCAAAGGTCAAATATCATTTTCCATGGAGGGATTATTAAAGAATATCTTTGTCATCTTTACGTAAGTTCAAAGGGGATATGACACCATGACATGCGACCAGATGAAACTCACCGTTTAAATGACTTTTTATTATTCTCAAATCTTCTCTGAACATTGATGGAAGCATTTGAGATAATGTAAGTAGTACACAACTATATTCTAGTTATTTGTATAAGTGTTAATGTAGACATTTAACCTATTATACCGTTATGCTCCTTAAACCACTTAGTAGTCTGGTCTCGTTTTAAATAACGTTTATTACTTTAATTAAGCTTAAAAAGAGTTTCTCTGTCAGCGTGACCTCAGCTGACATTTCCCAGAGTTCACTGGGAGTTCAGACCTGTCTCTTCCAAGTGTCGGGTGTGACCATAGAGACTGTATAAACAGAGAAGTGTTTTTATCTTAAACCTCTTGTGTTCATCTAACAATTCAATCTGTGTGTGTGTGTGTGTGTGTGCGTGTGCGTGTGCGTGTGCGTGTGTGTGTGTGCGTGTGTGCGTGTGCGTGTGCGTGTGCGTGTGTGTGTGTGTGTTAGTAAAGGGGTCCTGCCCCTGTCCCGTCACATTTCACACTATCTCTTCTCAGGCTGGAACAAAGCCTGTTATTCTCGGCTGACTGACACACCAGATAATTGTGACTCACACAGCCTTCCAGATGGATCATGGGAAAGTAGATTTGGTTATAAAAACAGCAATCAAAATGTAGTTAGACAATCATAAGTATAAAGTGTAATAAATATACTGGTTGACAGTTAAAAGTATGAAGTTTGTTTTGTGTGTTCTGTGTGATATTACTAGAACACAATAAATACAGTTCTAAAAAAAACACTCATACATAATTTCAGGATCTGTGTGCCGCTCTTTCCTCTCATAACAACCGCTCCATTTCTCCAGAGATCATTTTGATCATGTCCCACATATATATTATTTATCAAAGTAATTCATATAAACTATGAAACACACTGACTTTTGCCAGGAATCTTTTGACGGCGGGGTACGGGGCGATCATGTCTAGGAAGGGAGGGGTGATCTTCCGGAACCTCGGTGTCGTTATGCCAACAAGGAATGTGCCGTGGTCGCTACGGCGGATGTTGTCGGGGTAACCGATCATGTTGTCCATGACGACCTCCTTGGTGCCGGCCTTTGGGCCCTTCAGCCAAAACCTGAGAGGGAAGAGAGGAAGAGTGTGATGTTGTTCCCTCGTCTCAAAGTAAAAAAGGTTATTTAAAATGTGTTTCTGGTCAGAGTTTCAAGTTAGGTTGTTGGTTAATATTAGCTGAGTTAAGAGTTAGCTAATAGATTTGTATTTCTGGTGTTTACATTAAAGGGCCCTTATTTCAGGTTTAATATTTGTATGTTGTGCCTCTACTGTGACATGTTTACATATTTTAATGTTCAAAAAGGACTTTATTTTTCTCATACTGCTTGTGCTGCAGCACCTATTTTCACCGTTGTGATTGGGTTGTGATTAGCCTATCACTTACAATGTGCAATAGCCAGTAAAAGTGTGAGTGTTACATAGTGATGACACTATGTTATGGAAGTAAACAAAAGAGTCCAATGGAGGTGTTTCAAGCCGGGGGGGAGAGTGTGTGGGAGAGAAACTCCCTCTGGAGGGAACTTGCAGACAATTTGCATGCACTAAAACCTAGAACACAATACAGGGAAGTGTAAACCCCAAAAAGCATCTTAGGGCCTCTTTAGGGTTTCAAAAACTAATACAATGGTTATCCTGCTGAAACGTGAATCATACACGTTTATTTGCCACAGATCTTATTTTTCAGCAATATTCCGAAATCCAATCTTCAGGGTCAGCCTAGAGAAACACGTCATCACTTCACCACTCTATAGTGTGTACCTCAGTATGCGTCCGATGCTCGTCTCCGCTAGCAACAGGAAGTGCTCGTCAGGTGACAGAGCGATGCCGTTGGGCATGTAGAGATCGCCCAGCAGAACCGTCACACTTCCTGTCTGCGGGTCGAAGGAGAGGAGACGCCCGAGGCTGTTCAGCTCAATCACCTGAAAACAATATACATTTTAATTTAATTAAGTTTGTTGTTTTCCTTAATGTATATTATTTAGCTTAAATATGTTTAATGAAACATAGTTGATATACTGTACTGTATATATATTTAGCTTAATTTGTTGTACAGCTGTTGTGTTTTATTAAAAAGGGTTGAAAGTGCAGTAGAGCCCCCTCAGCAGCTCTGAATGGACCCTCAGTGTGGTTTTTGGCGAAAGGCTTTGGATGGACGGTTACAAAGAAAAGCCTGAGTGTCCTCAAGTGTTATTGGCAAGCACGATAAAAACATCTCTGAAGGACTCTGCATGCATCAGCTTCCCTCTGCCTTGTGATCTTCTCAAATAAAAATCTAAAAAACAGTGATTAGCAGATGGTTTTTGGCTAATTGCCTCCTATCCTCCCCCCCCCCCCCCTCACCTCCAGGGTGACATGTCTGCGTCCCCAGCGACTGGAGGAATCGGTGAAATAAATTATCCCCGTCTGAGAGGAAATCTCCAGACCGTTCAGGAAGGCGAAGGGAACGCCAGCAGCACCTGAGGAACAAAGAGAAGAAGAAAAACAATTTATATACATTTGTAAAAATCGTACTCTCATTTTGGTTGATTTAATGCATATGGAATACATTTTGGCGAAGGTGTGAATCCTAATAAACTTTGAAGCCAAAATGTAGACACTCAGGCCCTTAAGTACAAACATGTTCCCATTAAAACCACAATGTGTTATCCCAGGGCCATTACAGCAGAACGTCGTGCTTTAGATTGTATCAAGTTTTTAATCTTGAGCTCTGGCTTCAAAGCAAAGCAAGTTTATGTATACAGTATAGCACCTTTCAACACAAGGCAATTCAAAGTGCTTTACAAAAAATAAAAGACATTAAACAAAAATAAAACACATTAATTCAACATTATATTTTTAACTATTTCCACGAGATGCCCTTTGGTGCAAATACATGCTATTTTCTTGGTTTTCTGCATAAAAATCCCTGTCGATGCCAATCATTTACATAAACCAGAATGAAAATTACTTGAAAATAGCCATAATTTAAAAGGGTTTGAATTCTGAAAGATATCAAATATTTGGTAGTTAAGATCAACCTAAAGTTTGTTGAAATATTTATCTCAGTGAAAGGAGGAAATTATATAATTAAACAACTTTTTTTGTGCATTTTGACGCAAACAATATTGTTCTCCAAGGATAAAAAATAATATTTGAGTGATTATTTAAGTGAAGTGGTCATTTTACACACACACACACACACACACACACACACACACCTTGTGAGTTAGCCAGCAGCAGGGTCTTCTCTCCAGTTTTGGGGTCGACGCTGTGCAGACCAAGGTACGAGTCAGCCACGATCAGCTGACCGTGACGATCCAGACGGACTCCGTGAGGACGGCCGCACACCGGCTCGTAGTCCGTGCTGCTGCCTGCAGGAACATGAGGACTGCATGTTAATAACAACGTTAGAAATGTTTATGTAATCCTTATCTAATACTGAGGCACATCTGCTATGCCTCAGAACAGAGCTGAGAGAGAGAGGGACTAGACATTTCAAACTGAGGAGAAAGAAGAATTATTAAAAGTTTGGAGAGAGACGACCAATGATTTTGTGATCATAAACAAAACAACAAACTATTTTGTTTCAAACTAAGACAAATCAACTATGGTTAATCTTTTGAAGAGGAAGACAGTCATTTCCACATGAATACAAACCAAACTTTAAGAAGACTTTATTTATTATGTAAAGAAGCAGAAAGTAAAAATAAATATGAGAGAAAAGAAGTGAAAACAAGCTGCTGATGACTGCTGCTCATAAGCCAGTGCCCTTTAAATAATTAGACAGCTAAATGTTTGTGCTGTGAAATGTAATTTCCCGAACTTTTAAGAGAGGGTATGGATTTAAAAGGTTGTGTCTCTTTGCTTACATTCACCTCACTTAACAGCAGCTACACGTTGACTGCAGGAGTTTATTTAGTGTGAGGGAAAGAGATAAAGTCAAAAGGAAGCAGCTGGCCCAGAATAAACACAGAGGAGAATCAGACGTGGAAACACACACCACATTCTGGCAGGTCCTGTCCCATGTGTGTGAGGAGTGTGAGGCTGTCGTCAGGGGCGATCCTCCATAGCTTCCCGTCCACCGTGCCCGTGAACACGTTCCCTGAAACACAACACACACCGGGTGATATATGGGCGAAGAGCATTCAGACCATAGTGTGCCATTTAAACATTTTTTTTTGAAACTAGTAATAATGTATCTATAATGTTTGGAAAATGTATTTAAAAAGACAATGATGAAATCCAATCACAACAAAAAAATCTAAAAATGTAATAAAACAAATATATAATAATAATAATAATAATGATAATAATAATAATAATAATAATAATAATAATAATAATAATAATAATAATAATAATAATAATAATAATACATTCATTAATTTATAACATAATCAAAATAAAATTGATGTCATAAAACCAGACATCTATACAGATCAATTTAAACATGTCACATGAGCCATACCGGGGACAAAATACCTTTCACGATCATTATTGTTTCACTTGCAGATCATTTCATTTATTAATCATTTAGTTTATTAAAAAAACATGATTAAAATCTTAGAAAATATCTCTTTCTTTGAGGCTACCCACAAATCTACTAAACGTATTGTTTATCCTCTCACTCTCAATATCAATTTGTCAAAGTTTACATTACAAACAAAAAGGCCAGCTCACCCTCCTGATCAGCAGTGAAGGATTCTGGTCCGTGAAGTTTACCAGCAAACAGCCTGCGGCCCTTCTGCAGCAGGGTGTTCACAGCCAGGGGCCCCTCGAGGGCTGGGGGGGGGGCCCTTCAGACTGCAGGAGAAATTGGATTAAATTGTTAATGACTGTGTGTGTGTGTGTGTGTGTGTGTGTGTGTGTGTGTGTGTGTGTGTGTGTGTGTGTGTGTGTGTGTGTGTGTGTGTGTGTGTGTGTGTGTGTGTGTGTGTGTGTGTGCTTACACATGTGGTTTGGGGTCTATGGGAGAGGGCAGCAGGTAAACTCCAACAGCCACAGAGAGCAGAGCCGCTAATAATGATCGTTTACTCAACCTGAGAAATAACAAAACAAATATTTATTACCTCTGTTAAAAAGTTTTAAAACTCAAAGTCAATTAAGGTTGATATTTATTTTTATTTTAAATATTTCTGGTGAACAGATCATATTTTTCTTAAGGCAAAACATCTAAGAAATAATAGAAATATAAAGGAAATTATCAAAACAAAAAAGCATGTATAACATTCTTTAAACTCTATACATGATAGCCTTATCTGTAGATTCAAAGTGCCTTAAACAAATACAATTAAAACACTTTTGGCACTGTTTTACGCTGCAAATCCCATGATTGTGTTATCTTTGCAGATCCCAGTTTGTCGTCAATACGTCACAGAGTTGTGTCACATGTGGTGAGGTGAACTTTGACATGTGAGTGATGTTTAACACAAGATCAATCATATACCACACTGCATGTTGGTGACACAAAGGGGAACCCAGGTGAGTGAATAAAACTCAGATCAATGATTTAAATGAGATTGTAGAGCATGATTGTGGGGTTTCCTTTAAATGTGAAGGAATTCCTCTGAAAACGGGTTCTTTTGTTCCCTCCCATCACAATGGAAAGAAGCTAGAGGTTCATATGTGATATAGAGTTGAACAACAATTGCATTCTTCACAGGAAATGAAATAAATCCCAGCCGGGGAACTTATGCAACAGTTTGCATGATGTCATCTAACCTCCTCTCCCACACATAAGGTAATAATCTAGATCATTTCAAAGTGCTATCTAATCACATTTACTGGTTACATAATTCAAAAATGGGAAGTTAACCAGAACTCTAAATTATGTTTTGGGGGTGAAGAGGTTAATGTGCTGACAGCTGCTGGAGGAAAATAATAGTCCTCTAGGGGCTCTACAATGTCTACATCAGCACATAAACATGATTTAAAGTGTAGTTCTCTAATAGCCGAACTAAAGACGACCCCTGTGCTACAGTACCGTGAATATGTGACAACAATCTGAAGAGGAACAAAAGTGTTCCTGTGCTTTTAAATACTGAGAAAAGCTTTTGCGATAAGCGAGCTGTCACCTTGCCAAACTCCGTTCAAAAATGTGCCAAGTTTTACTCCGTCTTGAATGCACCATATTATATTTCACAAATCCTGAGGAAGTTAAATGAAGAAGCAGGAAGTAGTATTCTGTTTGGTTAAATCAGATTTAAACGTTGTGTTATATCTCCCGTCCCGCCCACACCTGCTGACAGATCCACAGAACTTCCACACACCTGAACCTGTTGACTTTTATTTTTATTTTTAGTAATTAGGAGCTGCTTGCATGCATTTTATTAATGCCGACAAGCAGTATGAATATTGACTGTACAAACAATATATTTAATTCATTATTATTACGACGCCGCACTGTTTACAACAAAATATAACATATTTCTGAACGCGGTTTGGCGACGCAGAATAACACTTCTTCATAATTCTGCAGAAGAAAACCGAGCCTAATAGTTGTTTCGTGTGAGTATACAATTATTAAATCGTAAAACTTACATTGTTGAGTTTTGAGTGAGCGTGTCCTCTTGCTGCTGGATCAAACTGATCTGACTCAATGGACCTGACATAACACCACAGAGTAAATAAGAGCATCCGGCGAGGACCTTCAAAATAAAAGTCTAGAGGCACACTTTTCCGGTCCATTTATGTGTCTTATAATATACATAGACTGTGTATATAAAGGTCTTATATTGTCAAACTTTTTCAAATGAGTTTAATATGACCAACTTTACTTTAGCAGGTCATTTTTGAGACACAATTTCATATTATTCAGGGAGGAATACCACTGTTGTACTAAATTTCAAATGTTGGCAGTACAAAACAATGTGAGAAATTGGTTCCAAATTGGAGACAGAGCTACAATATTGTTGTTCTAATGAACTCACCTGCATATACCATACATTAGTTAAAATTCGCCAGTTTTGTTTTGTGACTACTTCAATTAGTATTTTCTTTCAATAACCCGGCACCATTATATAACACTCACATTCTAAAGTGCTTAAATAAATATAAACTGTGTTTATAATTTAATACTTTGGTCTATTACTGTGTATTTTAAGTTATTTCTGCTCTTAAAACCTCTCCCGAAAACATCAAAGGATTACTTAAACAAAAGTTTCAGTCTGAGCTTTTATTTTGAAGGCAGCACTGAAAGGCTCCTTTCTGCAGTTTTACACATGAACAGTTACGTGTGTGTGTGTGTGAGACAGAGGGGGGGGGGGGGTCCATTTAAAGTCTGTGAGTAGTTGGGGTCACAGGGAGGACAAGAGGAGGAGGAAGAAGAGGAGGAAGAGCTGCTTTGGACTGCAGTTCTGCCAAATTACTGACAGCCTTTTTATGCTAAGCTATTTATTACTGGCTGAAGCTTTATATTAAATATTTGGAATTTGTCTAAAAGGGTTATAAAAAAGATCTGAATTGATTTTGGAAAAGTATGGCTGCAATTTAAGATTATCTTTTAATCTGCCGAGTAGTTTTGGTCTATAAAATGACAGAAAATAAAAGATATATCTCAGAGAGTGAAGGTTATGTCTTCAAGTATATTGTTTTCTTAGGTGAACAATTTAGACCCAAATGTATGTAATTAAAATTGCATAACAAAATAATAGTAGTAACATCTCATATGTGAAAAGATGAAACCAGTATTCTTGGGGGATTTGTTTTAAAAAATAAAGAATTTTCAAGAGGAGATACACATTTTTCTTTCAATCAAGTAATACATATATGGACTTATCTATAAACTCTTGTCAAATATATTTAAATAATCCCATTTACAGCAAGTTATTTCAACAAAGAAAACACAACAGCAGTTAAAAAACATGAAAGCACTTGTTTTTGTTTTAATTTCAACTTTATTGGATGCAGCCTGCCCTGTGTGAAGGAAAGGCAACATTTGGTATCGATTCAAAGAGAGACCGCAAGATGACGACAAAAATACATCTGAAGAGTTCTCCTGCAGAAAAAGCGACATGAGGAAGCCCTGCTGCAGGATTCTATTTCGGTCTGACTTTAGCAAGGCACTGCTGTATTCTGAGCTCTCAAAAGCCTACATTTAACTAGAAATATTGCTTCTTTTGACGCTAATCTTGAATAGACAGATTGATGAATAAGAGGTTCATTACAAACCATCTTCTTTTCATCCTCTATTCGATTCCAAACACAAGAATCATTTTGGATTTTGCAGCTCAGGGCTGAAATTAAAACCTGAACATTTTTAATTAAAACAAACAGAAATCACTTTCTGAGCTCAGATGCTAATGAAGAACTCATGATTCGAGATCAATCTGATCTCTAAATAGTCGACAAAATGGCATCATTGGAGAAGATGAATATCAACAGAGTTACATGCAGATCTTTGGCATTTACATGTACAGTGTCTGGATGCTCACGCTAAACACAGATCGCACACAACAGAAGATAAAAGCCTTAAAGACCGGAAATCTTAGATAATAGATTAGTTATGTCATTTAAGAGCTGCTTAAAAAAGACTGATGTATGGTACATGTAGTGGTTTCTCTACTTTCCAACAACTATTTGGTTGTTCAGATAAATCCCTAAACCACAGCTTTGAATGGAAAGTTCTTGAATATGCGGAAAAGTGATTTTCTTGCATTCAATCTGCGAATGAGGATCATGTCAAATGCTCAAAAGCTACAGAAAAGCTGCACATGGTGGGGGGGGGGGGGGGTTCTATTTCCAAAATCAAGAATTATATTTAGTAGCAGCTTAGATTTCAATGTCTCAAATCACAAGAAAGTAAATACATATTTAAGTATCAAGTGTAAATCTAATTGTACACCACATAAGGCTGATATGTCTAATTTATGTTCATTGTTAGTATTTTGGATTGCTTTGTTTCTCATCAACATGTAAAACAAAGACACTTTTAAGAGGCTGGATCATTTTTGGCTTTCTTTGCTTGAAAGAAATGATCAAAATAGTTGCAGAATATTTGTCTGTTGATAAAATAATTAATTCATATTGACTTATTGTTTAAACTGTAAAGAAACTGTAGGGAAACAAAATACTTAACATCTGTTTTTCCTCGAGGCCTACATCAGCAATTAGACGTTGCTCAAATGATTGATCGGGCAAACAATCAGCATTATATGATGTAACATCGTAAAGTGACACAATCTAGATCAAATCTAACATGTTTGGAATTTCTCAAACGGCTTCTTCTAAAAAGGTAAACAATGTTAGGTGAAGCCAATAGTTTGCATGTCTTAAATGTCTTTCTAAATACCAGATGTCATATATAAAAGTATTCATTTATGAACACTACTGGCCCAAAGCTTTGCATCAAAGGTTAATGAATCATCAAGCCTCACTTATACCAGCAGATCTGACAACATTTTAAAAAAACATCAGATGTTCACTCCAAAAGTGTTCCCCCCAGTTTTCTCTACGATAACGCATGCTTTAATATTATTAAGCCCCGTAGTGAACAGAGAGCATGTGTGTCACAAAAAGACAAAACCAAGAACAACATGCGACATTCAACAAAACCATTCACAGTCTAACAGCTAAACTCAAAATATACCAAAGATGAAAAACAAATTAGCTTAAAAAAAACAACAACTTCTGTCACACTGTACTTCCATTTGTTTAAAAAAAAACATTTAATTATGTGTGGAGCTTAACAAAATCTTTCAAAATAAGATTATAGTGTATAAGATGTTAAGATAAAGTACAGTTTGATGGCGGAAGTTTAAAGAAAAAGAAGAAAAATGAAAAAAAAAAAAAACCCGTCTTCCCTGAAGTTAAAGTGCCCCAAAAACTGAATGAACTGATACGATTAGTCTGGTATGATGTCATCTGACAGAACAAGTTGTTTATCAGATACACAAACAACAACATGGCTTTAAGATTCATTAACTGTTTCCATGCAGACTTGTGTATCTTTTCAATGATATTATAGGGAAGCAACACAAGGCCAACATTGTTTGAACGGTTTATAAGCAGCTAAATACCAAATGTGTGATTTCTTTTAATATCCAGAATTAAGGTCAAGATGAGCAAAATAATCATTTCACCATTTCAGTGACTTGACTTTATGACTTCATTTAAATTGGCAAAGCAAATGGAGTAAAGAGTTTTACCCCAAAAACATGTTGAACATCTGGATAAAAAAATGTAAATATGAAAGCTTTTACAGTTGCACCACTTTGAATTAAATAATGGGAAAACGTCCAAAATATTTTCAAATAGTTCATTAATCTAGATTCTGTTGTATTCAAATATAACTTTTAGTTTTGGGGTGTTTTTGGTACTTCTTAAAGAGACGTTTTAAAAAGCTTGATCATACATTTCCCAAAATGCCACGTCTCAAATAATAACATTTTATTTGCGAGTATTTCCGAGTAAATGATGTATTCAATTGGAAGAATGGCCCTTGAAATGTCCCAATTAGGCGTTCAGCTGCTTGTAAGATTCAAATCCTCCTGACCTTTTCCCTTTGCTTCCATATCATTAACCCAGTGTTCGATAATAAAATAAACCAGGGTTAAAACCCCTTTAAATAAAACTCTAAACTTTATATGTGTTCCCTTCAGTGGGAACAGGCCTCTGATATATGTTTTGCTCCAGGCAACACCACAAAAATATCTTTGGTTATAACAAAAAAATAAATCTATGAGATAGTTTGACACAGAAATGAGAGAATAGTTACAGGCTTTGCCCACTAGGTGGCGGTGTTGCACTTCAATCAGCTCAACTCAACCTTTGTTAATGACTTGTGATAGATATTAATAACCCCATTTCTAGTTCAAATGATTGTCTTTGTTTAATATTAAATGTATGTTTTTTTGATCAAATATCTGAATAACTGCTGCGACAAAAACAACAGATCTTTTAACAAAACTACATTGACAAACTCTTTGGTCTCTAAGCCATAAATTCCATATACTAAAGATAACATTGCATATATATTTAAGGCAGCTACTGGCAACACATGTCACGAAGCTTCACTGTACAAAAACGCCTCCAGCTGTTCACCTTCTTTCACACTTTGCATGTCTTTCTTTTCCTTGTATCCACCAGCTGAACCTCGGGCTGTAAAGGAGGTCAAGGCTGCAGGTTTTGACTGGAGATAAGAGCACAAACACACAGCGACAACACGACTCATATCAGTATCAGCTGTTCTCACAGACCTCCCTTATTTCTCCCAGCAGCAGCAGCAGCTTTCATTAATGCACAACAACAGGACAAGCCCGCCATTGTCCTCGAGGTCACACCGCTCACTACCGTCCTATTCCTTCTATTCTACTTTCCTAAACTTCTCAGTCAACTTCCAGAAACCGTCATTCCTCCTGCTGTGACCATGCAGGGTCAAAGGTCGGAGGTCAAGTCTATCCAAACTACATTGGCATCTTCGGCTTTAAATCCAACAAAATCACCCTCACTCGCCATAAAATAACTATCTTTCCAACCAAAACCACGTTTCTTTCTTCATTCAGTAGACAACACCTTTCCTCTTTCATTATCTGCCAGTAGAGTTTGTGTTTTCAGTTCCATTAAAGCTCAAATGCACCTTTTATTCCTCTGTACACCAACAACTCCCTATGGAGTCTGAAGTGTGCCAATAAGTCGAATACAAATAATAATCAAAGATAACAATCATTCATTGATTCTTTAAAAATGCTTTATATTTATGCATTTAAAATAAATGTATGTGATATTTAAAAGGTGATAAAAGCAGCAAAATGATGGAAATAAGAGTTACGGGATATGTAGCTGCTTATTTGCTTTGAAGATCTGTAATTAGGGCTGGCACATATGCACCCTGAAAATAATAATACAGAAAATATCTTTGAATCTAAAAAGTTTAATTTTCTTAATCGACAATTTAATTGCCAAACTTTTTTTTAAGATGATTAAATAGTAAGTTGAAATGCCATTTTATTTGTATTTAATTTGACTTTAATATTGAGTATGTGTCCCTCATCTGTTGTGTTTTCTTTTGGTGCCGTTTTCACATTCTATTAACAGCTATGAACATGAAGTAAAATAATTGTAATATAAAAAAACAACTTTCTTTGGCACACTCAAGACTCCATACATACTTTTTCCCTTCAGAAATATTTCTCAACTTTCAGGATCATTCAAGCAAAAGTCAAAGAGAATCCATGTTCTTTGCTTAAAGGCTCCTAATGATCTGCTCGTCCTGTCATGTGTATGTCCGCTCAATATCTCCCACTATCTCCGTCTGTGTCAACGAGCAGACTGCTGCTCCGCCTCGGAACAAAACAACTCAACTAAATAAGACTTTTTGTTTCCAGAAACACAAAACAATAAAAAGCTTCACCCATATAAATTAAAAAAGAAAAATATGTACAAACCATTAAAAACAAAAAAATTAAATAAAACTCTAACTCAACATATGGCCTTGAGTCTTTCACAAGTTTAAAGGGATACAAAGGGGGAACTCAAGAGACATGATGTGACAGCAGGACAGAGGAGGAGAGCATATGGCACGTTTCAGTGACTCTTTGGTGTGGGCAGGCAGCAGTCTTTCATCCAGGCTGAATCAAACCCCAGCATCCCAATATTGTCCGTTTATCCTTTCTCAGTTTATTTCCTTTAAATGTTTGGATCATCTTTCGTCCTGGCGCAGAATCCTTTGCTCTCACATCCCTCTCCTCGTCAAAATGTAGACACAGCTCCTCTGAGGATGTAAAAAAAAAGTCCCCTCCTCCGAGCCAGTAGGGGGAGTAGTCCTGTTTTTGGGGGTGAATGCTCTAAGAGGGTCCCCGGAGCTCTCTCATCGCCTCCTGCAGCCTCCGCCGGTAAGAATCATAGCGACGAAGCACCGCCTCCCTCTGCTCCTTCTCCTCCTTGTCGAGGATCCGCAGGAAGTTACGCAGCTCGGGGATGGAGAACGCATCCCACTGAGAAGAGGGGGAAACTTTATTCACAACACATCTTATTGAGCATCTTGTTTTTTTTGCATGATGTTCATGGATGGGACTTGATTGCTACTCTAATATAGATGAGAATAAGGAGGAAAGGAAAGCAGACGAAGGAAAGGGGAGCAAGGTAAGGATGGGAAAGGGAAAGACAGAAGGTGAAAGGAAAGCAGACGAAGGAAAGGGGAGAAAGGTAAGGATGGGAAAGGGAAAGACAGAAGGTGAAAGGAAAGCAGACGAAGGAAAGGGGAGAAAGGTAAGGATGGGAAAGGGAAAGACAGAAGGTGAAAGGAAAGCAGACGAAGGAAAGGGGCAGAAAGGTAAGGATGGGAAAGGGAAAGACAGAAGGTGAAAGGAAAGCAGACGAAGGAAAGGGGAGAAAGTATGGATGGGAAAGGGAAAGACAGAAGGTGAAAGGACAGCAGACGAAGGAAAGGGGAGAAAGGTAAGGATGGGAAAGGGAAAGACAGAAGGTGAAAGGAAAGCAGACGAAGGAAAGGGGAGAAAGGTAAGGATGGGAAAGGGAAAGACAGAAGGTGAAAGGAAAGCAGACGAAGGAAGGGGAGAAGGTAAGGATGGGAAAGGGAAAGACAGAAGGTGAAAGGAAAGCAGACGAAGGAAAGGGAGAAAGGTAAGGATGGGAAAGGGAAAGACAGAAGGTGAAAGGAAAGCAGACGAAGGAAAGGGGAGAAAGGTAAGGATGGGAAAGGGAAAGACAGAAGGTGAAAGGACAGCAGACGAAGGAAAGGGGAGAAGGGTAAGGATGGGAAAGGGAAAGACAGAAGGTGAAAGGACAGCAGACGAAGGAAAGGGGAGAAAGGTAAGGATGGGAAAGGGAAAGACAGAAGGTGAAAGGACAGCAGACGAAGGAAAGGGGAGAAAGGTAAGGATGGGAAAGGGAAAGACAGAAGGTGAAAGGACAGCAGACGAAGGAAAGGGGAGAAAGGTAAGGATGGGAAAGGGAAAGACAGAAGGTGAAAGGGAAAGCAGACGAAGGAAAGGGGAGAAAGGTAAGGATGGGAAAGGGAAAGACAGAAGGTGAAAGGACAGCAGACGAAGGAAAGGGGAGAAAGGTAAGGATGGGAAAGGGAAAGACAGAAGGTGAAAGGAAAGCAGACGAAGGAAAGGGGAGAACGGTAAGGATGGGAAAGGGAAAGACAGAAGGTGAAAGGAAAGCAGACGAAGGAAAGGGGAGAAAGGTAAGGATGATTAGATGATTATGATTTTATATAATCAATTTGTGGCGTTATCATTTTGTTTTGTTTAACTTCAAATGTGTTTTTTTACCTTTACCTAGCAGATATGTGCCTCCATACAAAGGAGTACAGAAGTAAGACAAGAAAGAGAAGGAGGAAAAGGAGATAGCGGCTGAGATAGCGAGCATGGAAAAGGAGGGAGATGAAGTCAGAACAGATGAGGAGGAGAAGAAAGAGTGGATACAATGATTCAGTATTGAGCTGTAGGAGAGATACAGTAGTTTCATATCAAAGGTCAATGAATATAGATGTACCATGACTTCTCCGGTCTGTTCCCTCAGAACGAAGCTGAGCGTGTCGGAGTCGGGTCCCGCCACCAGACGCAGAAACAACGGCTGCTCGCCATCCGCCAGCTTACACACGTACACTGAAACACACACACACACATTAATTAAGGCACTACAGTATGTGCGGTCCTGCAAGCCACATTCATGCAGGCACCAATGTGGTCGCTGCAGATGCATTTTGTGTGTGTGTGTGTGTGTGTGCGTGCGCACATATAAACATGCATGGCAGAGGATGAAAGGATGGGTGCAGCACATAAAATGGCGACCACAGTCATTTACAAAAACAGAAAGAGAGGGAGATCCATGTTGCCAGAAGAGGACAACAACACTTCACTTTAGGGCTGATAAAGTCCTCTACATATTAATTTTTTCACTGTACAATATCACCCTAAAAATAAGCTTTAAAAATGATGATGAACAATAAAACTCACGCATATTGACTCGTAAACAATAAATAAATCAATATACTGTTCATCACATTTGAATCAAAAATCAATCATGTGTGGCCTATGTTACTAATGGGTTATTGTGATTTTAACACCAACTTATTTTTACAAGACTCATTATTATTATTTATAACAACATTTAAATTTGATATTATTAATTTATCAAATGATGCCAATAATGGCACTTAAATTGACGGGTAATAACAAATTGCAAAGAAAACTTGTTCAACGTTTTGCAGAAATGATTGTGCCGTCTCCATAGAAGTGCAGCATTTAAATATTGCAAATAAAAAGGAGACCATCGCATGTGAAATGTGACAGGAGCCAAACTGATAGGGTTCAAGGTCACTGTGATCTCAAAAGCTTTTAAACAAACAGTGTCTCTTTTCTATTTTCTTTCAGACAGAAACTGGAGTATATCTCATCATGACTCTGAAGGACACTTCCTCACTAGCCTGGTTTTAATGAGTTGAATGAAAGCTTTTGTCTGGGAACTTTTAATACACAAAGTCTGCATACATCTGCTATCAGTCGTCTGTCTAGACTCTGTCTTTTATTAGTCTCACTGTATGTCTCCAGTAATGAGGTGAAACAAACCAGAGCAAGGCACAGATGCAAGCAGAAACACAAATAAACTCTATAAATGTGACTTCAAACAAGATATTTATATTATATAGCATTTATACAAATGTAATAATTATAAGTAACTTTTTATAGTACAAGGATCATAAAGCAAGCCCATCTTTCTCCTCTCTTGCAGATGCTACAGTAAGATTATATTTGAAACCCTGCAACAGCTGTTAATTCAAAGAGTTGGTGTGTGTGTGTGTGTGTGTATTCCTGGTGTTGATAGTAGGGAGAGCCCTGCATGAGGGCGAGGCATCCAGAAACACACACGCAGCACACACACACACATAGTTGACACGATGTCAGCAGTCCCAAAGCATCTGTTACAGAGCTTGGAATGAGTGGTATGAAACACACCGTCTCCGGTCTCAATCCAGTCACTTTCACTCTCTCTCTCTCTCTCCCACACACACACACACACGGCTCCAGCCTTACCCTGCTCCTCCCTGCGGTAGCGTTTGTATAAGGCGTATTTGGCTGGGTTGTCTTGGACTGTGAACTTGCTCAGCAGGGCGACGATCACCTGAACACACACAGGGGAAAAAACGGTCAAAAATCAATAAACTAACGACACTGATGTGATGTGTATTTATAAATAGTTTTTTTCTTCTTTGGTCTTAGTGTTTGAAAAGCAGTATCTCCTGTTCACCGTGGATATGTCTTTAGTTAGCTTATTTGATTTGTAATTAACAGACACCTGTAGGCCATTCATTAAACTATCCTTTTTGTGTCTGCAGGTTCATTTTCTCAGATTTTCAAAGAAAGACTAAGAAAACTCAGTGAAAATGTAATAAAATCTCAACATCTGCCAGAATGCACTGAACCCTGACTTCAACCAGTATGTCATCAGATCCTAATTAAGTTGTGTTGACATGTGTGTGTGTTAGCCACCTGTCTGACGGTGTTATTGGAGCTGATGTGGAGGGTGTTGGTGACTCCGCGGGGCAGATAGAAGGCCTCACCCACCAGCGCCCCCGCGGCTCCTCTCTGGCCCCCCCGCACCGTCACCGGCCTCCTCAGGTCCATCTGCACTTGGATGAAACCAGTATACACACCAGTGGGATTCTGGGTGAAAAAAAAGAGGGAGGTATGGTTAGAGCTGCAAACAGAGATGTATGGATTAGTCAATCAACAGAAAAATAATCACCAACTATTTTTATATTTTTAGGCAAAAATGCCTGGAAATGCAGTTTTAGGTATATCAAATGTGGAGGATTCACTATTAAAATCAGGAATTTAGATACAGTATATATATAAAAGTTGACAAAAAACAACAACCACCAAATTAGGAAGATTAAGTGAACCAAAACCTTGGATAAATTAAGAATAAAGAAAGTTATTTATAGCAAGAATCTAGATGTACGTGCTGAACGATCTCTGCAGAAGAAACCAGTTCACCCAGACAGATGGCCCCAGACGGAGGAAGAGCATCTTAATCCTATTACCGTGTGTGTGTGTGTGTGTGTGTGTGTGTGTGTGTGTGTGTGTGTGTGTGTGTGTGTGTGTGTGTGTGTGTGTGTGTGTGTGTGTGTGTGTGTGTGTGTGTCACAAGACAAACGAGATCAGTACGAACAGTCAAACTCGCTAGTCAACTACAAAGGGTGACAAAGAGAATCTTGCACAATCAGAGACAAAGCGATAACGAGACCTTAAATATGTCAAATAAGAACAAAAGTTTTGGGTAGGGACGACATATCGATAACACCATCAGTTCCTTTTTTCAGATAAATATGTGTTCCATTTGTTTTATCTTGTATTTTCCATTTAAAAATAACTTTTTATGTTAATATGAATAGTTTTGATGTTTAAATAATGTAAATGAGGCATAATCTAATGCTAACTTCTGGTGATTTTAGGAGAAATCTAAAGATGTAAATAGACAAAGTTACTAATATAAACATCTAATTATGTATTTTGGATGTTTTTCTTTCCACTAGTCTAAAGGAAGGCATGTTAAAGAATCAATAGCTCCAAACCTTACAATGATGGCATGTGAACATTTGCTCTGATGTAACACTTGTATTCCTGGCCTACTATAAAAACAAGCACATGTTGTTTTCCTGACTGGTAGCGCTCCAACAACACAAAACCTGCGCTTCGCCTAGAGTGCGTTATTCTTTTCTGGATTCAACATGCTGCGAGAGTGTGCCCTGTGGCTTTGAATTCAGCTCCAGACATGTTGGACGCTGCCAAGGGAAACAGTGTGAGGAGAACAATGGCAGGAATAACCTCTGTGATGTGAACGCTGAGGAATGCTGCAGCTGGGACAGCAGCACACCTTCACATGAAAACCTGCAGACTCCCTTTTATATCTACAAACACCAACAAATACTACATATAAAAGACATTAAAAGAGCATTTGAAAAAACATCTGCAGTGTAGGTTTACACGTGTTTCAGGATTTTCTCTGGGATACAGAGTTTACTGAATTGCAGATTAAAATGTGCGCAACACTTCTAAAGACTGACTGTGAGACTTAAGATGAAATATTATGGTCATCTGGTGTCACATGTTGAGCTGGTTTATTAAAAGCTGCAGCTAATGTCAGTTAGTACAGATTAGGTTTGTCACTTTAGTTGTAATTTATACCTTTATGTACGTGTATTTAAGGGAAGCAGACAATCCATTTAGACTCTTTGTAAACAAACTTTCCCTTAGGGACAATATCTACAACAACACTATTATTGAGATGACTAATTGGCTCCATATTGACAAACGACAACTTCAAATACTGTTGAATCTATGAATTTGTAATTAGAAGAAATAATATAGTGATATATGAAATTCTTTTCACTCTTCTCACTTTTACTTTTGATTCAACTTGCTGATAATCTGTGTACATATTTGGTGTGTGTGTGCGTGTGTGTGTGTGTCACTTACGAGTGTCATCTTGAGGTGGTCTTTGGTCAGAGAGTTGTACTGCTCGATCTTCTGTCTGAATTCCTCCCTGTTGAACTCCGTCCGCAGCTCTCGCTCCTTCCCCACATCCTGACAGAATAAAGGAAACATGACACGATGAGTTAGTCACAAGTCAACTTAGTTTATCAAAACAGTAAAGTCTCTGTAAAGACAATAGCAGCAGCAGCACACATGGACGACGAGTGCACAGGCAGAGTTCATTCTCATCCGAATTAAGAGTCTCAGTAAGTTACACAAGTTATATTTGATCATCTTCTGCACAAACATTAGTTTGAAAACATTTTTTGGAATGTATTTCTTAAGTGTCACACTTTCTTACAACTCATAAAATGACAAAAATATCCTCCTAAATCCATTTTCTTTTGTTGGAGGAGCTGCATGCTAGTAGGGAAACCTGAGAAAACCAGGCTGTTTTTGGATAAGAAGAGGAGCAACAAGATAAGACTTTACAGAAAGTATAACAAAATATAATACATTTTTCAAATGAGTTGACAAGTTGATAGAAAGGCAACACAAATACATGCTGTCTTTAGAGAATCTAATCATTTTACCTTTGGAAGGCGAACCATAACAGGACGCCGGCAGAAAGCAGAGTAAGCTGTTTTTAGTCCATGCTTTAGGGTCAATAGAGCATTTCTCATGTGACCCCGCCCATTGATATGATGATAAGGAGGGAGGAGATAACTTCAGAAGTGCAATTAGAATAAAAAGCAACATACAAATCTACATTTTCCAATGTGAATGACGGAAAATAAACCTTGTGTCAAAGACTGCAGCAGGAAGATATTAGCACCGTGTGTTTCTGAAAAGAAAATCTAAATCTCTGACTTTAAGTGAGAAAAATCCCTCACTGCTGGAGGGTCAGCGCATGACCAATTCACAATCTGTGTCCCATGCTGTGCGACTGACTTCTAATTTTAGACAAAACATGAACATCTCCTGCAGGAAACTGAACGATGCAAGAAAGAAAAAATATGATTCAGTTTGACGGCCACATGGACTTTAATCGTGTTAACAACCTAAGAGTGTGTACTGTAAAGCACAAGCTGATGTTTGTCAAATCACACAAGAGGCTTCACTGTAAGTGAGGCCTGAAGTCAGCCAGAGGGGGGAGGAGGTCAGAAACAGGCGTCAGCTGATAGAGGGAGTTCTAGATAAAGAGGACGAACTGACACGTGTACTGTGCAGACAAAAACATCTTTAAAGAGCAGCAATAAGAGCAGTGACACCAGGTCAACCACACAGTCCAACCCTCCTTTTACAACTACCAAGGTACACATGCAAAACTATAATGCAGGTCACATGATAAAGCTGAGTGTTACATCATCAGCAGTTTCAGGCAGTTGGCGCATGCAGGAGCTTGGTTTCAGGATAAAGTGACACATAAAGCAGAAATATATATTTACAAAAAGTGGGCTTTTAACTGCTAATTAAATGTTTTCCTTAAATACTGGCAGGTTTCAGCATTTCCATTGGGAAGGGTTTGGGGCTTTTCTCCATCTCATCATTATAAATTAAACTAGTTTTTGACAAAATAAAGAAACATTGTACTTTAACCTCTTTGAAAACCATTGTTCTTACACTTTATAGACTTATTTAAATACAAAAGAAAACAATAAATGATAATGAATAAAAGCCTACAAACTGTCCTCCTACTAACTTTTGGTTATATGTAAAACAATTAATTAAAAAAAACATGTCAATGGTAAAAACAACATCCTCTCATAGCTTTTAAAGCCTCAAAACAACTGACTGACATTTTTAAAGACATCTTCTGTGTGCATGTGAACAGTGTGTGTGTGCCAATGCAGTCTTTTAATTCTCCAGTGTAGTGTGTGCTTACATGGGCATAGTGCAGCACTCCTCTACATCTATTAAAAACTACACACACACACACACACACACACACATAAACACATAGTGCAGAATCCAGGGAGGCTTTGAAGGCACACACACACCCTTATATGGAAAACACACACTGCTCAAGGGAAAGACAAGGTGCCAATGCAGCGTGTGCAAAGTGCAAACACACAGTTAGAGGGCTTCTGACAATGTAATGCCAGTCTGTGGGCCAGATGAGAGAATTACATGCAACATTTAACAAGTCATTTATCAAACGTTTGGATTTAAAGAAAAAACGATGATCCCATAGAGCTGGTGAAGATGCAGACTGCAAATCTGTTGATGTGTGCTGTCAGAACTGGATGTTATTTTAGATTCAAAGAAAAAATGTGATTCTCTGAATCGGGTCTTTACATTTTTGAAAAATGAAACTATTTTTTTTTGCATTTTTGATCATAACATCTGGTAGTGGACTACTTAAAACTTTGAGAAAACACATTTTCCCACCTCAGGCACAAAATATAAATAATTACTAGGAATTTCCTTGAAAGAATGTGACGGGGTTGAAGTTTTTGGCAAAAAGTAGCCATGAGACCTTGTTTAGCTAAGACAGCACCACATGGAATTTAAGGACATCATACAATTGTAATATTTTGCAAAACTATTGTTGAATTTTTCCTAAATAATTGTTTACTATAAGTAATTCATACAACAGAGTTGAAATGCTGAGCATGACAATCTCAATCTGACAATAAAAAAATTAAATATAGGTAAGAAAAGATACTGACACATGCCTTTCTTTGCCGCCTTTTCCTCAATAGACTTCTGTGATGTCACTCCCTCAATGCAGATGTCACATGGACTGATCCATTATTTTAATAGGGGGGTAACATGTATAGCGTGACAGGGTTGAAACAAACTGGGGGACGAGTGTCAATAGTGTTATTATGTTATTTGTTTAATATTCAATGAATATGTGATGATGCTCAGTGAGGACATGCAAAAATGTGTGTTGTCTACTACAAAGACAACTAATTATTATAAAACAAAAACTAAATATATATATTTAGTTTTACATTGTAATGCAAAACACCCTGTTCCTTTAATTCAGTGCTTTAAAATACATTTTGTAGTTTTCTTTCATTTAAAATCTTTGAAGTAAGCTTGGGGGACACAAAGGGCACCCGATTCAGAGAATCACTAAATATTAAATGACATGAGAAGATTCTAATAGGATCATAAGGCTGCATTCAGCGTCCTTAAATACATAAGAAGTTTGGAAAGTTGTCTAAAGAAGCGCACAACTTTATTTAGGTAGGCTAGTAGACGCTGATTGACATAAAATCACATTTTTGAAAATGTATAAATAACTGAAGTTATCTTGGGCTCTAGGACATTTGAATGGACATGTTTTACGACATCTTATATACTTTTAAATCAGCCTTAGATGTGATGAATTATTACTGCAGAATGTATCCTTAATAAATGGCTTTACTTGGGAATCTCAACACCAAAAAGAGGTTAAAATATAGCAAGTAAAGTCCGTTTTAATTACAGAATGTAGTCTCTTCTGATTTAGAATAAAATAAAAGAATATCATCTATTAAATTATGGAGGTAAACAAATGTGGTGCAGACACATTTATTAAGAACTCAAGAATGCAAGTCATTTAAAGCCTGTATTGTTGCATAAGGCTAATTCCTCGGTGCGGTGACCTCAGTGGGTCGACCTGACTCATCCGGATTAAAGGACGAGGGTATTGGACCGCAACAAATCTGCTCGACCACATGCACACTAAGACACACATAACACCCTGAATCTGAGGGGATCAGATTCCTTGGTTGATCTGAGAAAACTCCTTTTTAAAAAGGTGACGTCAAGTTTCTACCGAGGGGATTTTCCACATTCATGTTAATCACCTGATGAGTCAAAGCTTATCATTGACAGGAAGTGACGAGGTGATTATCTGTCACCTTACCTAGCACAGAGACAGAGCGGGAAAGGAACACATAATTAAAGATGAATAAATAGAAACCTATGAATGAATCCTTCCTCTCGTGTTAAAGTGTGTGCACAAGGTAAGCAGCTAAACCTGAACATCTTGTAGATCAAGTGACTTCCAACCTACATGGAAGTCGCTCCTTGGCACGTTAAACCTGTACTATGTTACTTCCTGTTTAGTCCGCAGGGGGGAGGTCACTCATCCAACTATTTGTTTGTATATGGCTTATTTGTATTTGGTCAAAGTATTGTGAAATAATAGGAATAAGTGCTAGTTATAAATTGAGCAAAATCCTCCCACTTGACACGTCTCCTCAGAAATAAAGTTAGGAATGTAAACACTTTAACTCTCCCCGTTATCTCAGAGCATCTAATACTGACCCAGTGATGTTACTGGCTCACAAATATAATTTTAGCCCTCAGGAGTGTGCATACCAAGTGTGTCCAGTTCAGGAGAGAGAAGGTTACTAGGAACTGGGAGGCTAAGAGCAGCTTAATCCAAACAAACCAGAGGAGCAGAGCACAGCGGAGCTACAACACCATGAGGTCATGGTTTGATTTAACAGCACAGCGAATCCTCCCACTGAAGCTGGAAGATCAACACTGAAGAGGCGAGAAGGAAGACAGAGGGACAGGAGCTGGGCTTTTTATTTCCTAATAAAACACCCATGTTACTGGTTCCTTTCCAGGTACATATGGTTTCTAATGTGTTCTAACCTTGAATGCTGATGAGAAAGAAGTAGAGAATAACTTTGGTAATTGTAATCGTCCAAAAACTTCTGTTTGTAAGAAGTTAATCCTGTTATGATTGAAGATATGTTTCTCCTAAAGTCCAATACTGACGGTACTACATTTTTTATTCAATATTTAAAAGAATACGATTTCATGTCCCCATGCTGCACTTGTTGCATTAAGCAGATGTCCATTAAAAAGCAGAACAGACGTTGCCTCAGCACCAGAGCTACCAGGAAACACTGGGGGGGGGAAGTGACGAGACAAAAAAACAAAGCAAAAAGAAAACAGACCCGAAGAAAGACTTTTATAATGATCTCCCTGTGTCATTGCTGCCGTTTCAAGAATAACCCAGGTGGGTAAAGTTCAGTCTGAATGTGTGTGAGACATACAATTGCTTTTTCTTTCTCCAAACTTTTCTCCACACACCTGCAGCATTCCTGCCTTTGTCAAACACTGTCACGCTGCATCCACCGTCTGTAAATAGATGGCAT